CTCAATAGGCTGCCATATTGGTCCACAATACAAGTGTTTGCATCCATCTGTATACCATACTGCAATATCAGAGATTTATATATATTTTCCATGGTGCACAAATACAAAAGAGGTGTAGTTATAGGAGCTCGTTAACTGGAGGTCTTAATGGGTTTGGATTGGATGATGTCCGCCTGTGCAGCAGGATGTTGCCTCCTCATACTTTTCCTCCTGACTGAGGGTCTTCTGGGTGCTCCTGCTGTCACAGGAGTTTAATGTCAGACTGTTTGAGGCCGGCAGGGACGCGCTCACCTTGACATGATCAGGTTGAAAATGAAAAGCACTGAATCCAGACAGTCACAGTGAAGATATGTAAACCATCAGGGATTCTTTCTTTCACTCTTTCTCTTTCACTCTTTTACTCTGTCTTTCACTTTTACTTCTCTTCTCTCTCTTTTTCTTTTTCATTCTTTCACTGTTTCTCTCTTTTTCTCTCTTTCTCTCTTTCTTTCTTGTACTTTCTTTCTCTTGTTTCTCTATCTCTTTATTTCTTTCTCTATTTTTTTGTCTTACCTTCTTTCTTTCTTTCTTTCTTACTCTTTCTTTTATTTCCTCCTTCCCTTTTTTCTCTTTCTCTCTTTTCCTCTTTCCTTGTATTTTGCTTTCCTTCTTTCTGTCTTTCCTTCTTTATTCCTGTATTTCAGGCTAACTTCACCTCCTAGTTTTCTTCTATTTTCTTTTTTCAATTTGTCGTTCTTTTATTCTTTCCTTATTTATTTCTTTTTCTGTTCTTCTTTCTGTTTTTGTCTTTTGCCCTTCTTTCCTTCAACTCTTTATTTCTTTCCTTCTCCTTCTTTTTTAATAATAGGTTTTCCTGTCATTTTGATTATTTTCTTCAGTCTTTTCTTCCCTCTTCCCTTTCTTGCACCTCCACCCTCTTCACTTTTCATTTCCATTTTTCTTACTTTATTCTTCCATGTCCTCTTGCCACCTGTGATCAATCTTCTCCTTCCTTCTTCTGTTCTTCCTTCTTTTGTCCCTCCTCTAACAATCCTCCTCTTTCTTTCTTCCTCTCCTTTCATCATCCCTTCTTCCTCATGTCCTCAGTCTCACTACACTACTAGCACAATTTCTTGGAGAGGATTATTATGTTCAGCAGACTGTGTGGTGATTATACGTTCATATACTCTAATCTGAGTATGTGTGCAGACCTGGACCCGACCGGCTAAGTGCTTTGTAGAAAAAAAAATCACGCCACAGTGAGTTATTTCTGGCTGGGTTCATCTTATTTCTCTGGGCACTTTGATAATGGAGAGGATTTGAATAATGAATGGGGTGTATAATACTGTTGTTCAGGCCCGCTGAATGAATTAAACAAGTGCCTATAAGTGAGTTTTAACTGAGTGTCTCTAATATAGAACCCTGCTGCACCTCTTAGCTGAATCTCTTCAATGTACTTTTCAGTTCATGATCTTCATTTTGTAATTTTGTAATTGCAACACAAAATTCAGCAGTGACGGAAATACTCAAATTAAATATTGAAATTTAAACTTGGCTACAGAAAGCATTTCTTTTCTTTGTATACGTGCTTGCATCTGTACATATGTGTACATGTCTCAATAGTCTCTGCATAATGCATTGGTGTGTTAGTTAGCAGACGACTTGACCTCATACACAGACTCTGAGACTCTCAGTGTTTCTCCATCAACGGCTCATTGCTCCCTGCAGAGCTGGTGTGAAGTCAAACACCAGATTAGGGATCTTGTGTGCTGATATTTTAAAACAGTGAAGTGTTTTTAATAATAAATGATTGATTTAGTTCATTTCCTGACATGAGTCAAAAAGAAATGTGCTGTAGTTTGGATTATAATATTGTTCCATTTCTTGAGAACACGGTTAACAGAAATAGTGAGAAGGACTTTAACCAATTGATTGTAATTGATTGATTTTTCCCCTTTCATTTCATTAGGTCTTGATCATTCGTTTTAATCAGACTTAAATAGTAAACAAAGGCCAAACTGATCTGTCATTCCAAAGCTACAAAGTATACAATTCAAGGTCCTGTAAGTCTGATCTAACTTTAAAAAGTGAAGACTTTGCAGGCAAAATTTACTCTTTTCAGGTTTATGTTTACCACTGAGTTATTTCTATAATATGCATCATGGGCAGCATTATATTGCACTGTGTGGTAGTTAAAGCCATCTTACAATGCTTTTTAGATATATATATATATATTTGTGTGTTTAAAATTTCTAAATCTGCTGAATTAAGAATAAAATTAGCAGAGTCCACACCAGTTTTGCAGTAGAAGTATTTAGCAGTGTTAAACTAAAATAATTCAAACTGCACTCTGCAGTAGACAACTAGAAAAGTGCAATTGGTGATTGTCCAGCTCATACACGATTCATTTTGTCGTTATCGGCTTTGAAACAAACATAATGTGTAATTCACACATCAGAAGTGTACAGAAAAGTTAACAGTAGCTAGAAATGGGCAGCATCTCCTTCTAAAAGACACCCTTCACCCTGCCTCAGGTTTCCTTAGGGTAACACAATCCCACTGTGTGTGTGTGTGTGTGTGTGAGTTTGCATGTGTGTGTGTGTGTCTGTGTTGCACTCAGGTATGTTTTAAGACCTCAGCAGCAGAGTGGGTTGGTCCTGAGCCGGTTAATCTTCTGATGGTAATAGAAAGCGACTAATAGAGAGCGCAGACGAAGCTGTCTTCCTTCGCTCTGGTCACATTCTCATTTGTTGCTGCTGGCGGTGGATGAATTATTGAGTGAGGGGTGTTTCGGGCTTCCACCCCTCCCCTAACATTCCCTCACTCTGCTCTTGAGGATGACAGCCGTCCTGTGTGTGTGTGTGTGTGTGTGTGTGTGTGTGTGTGTGTGTGTGTGTAAAGTGAGCGAGAAAGTGAGACACCATGTGTATGTGCTTGCATTCTTTTGCAATTAAACAGAGCTTTCATCCTCATTCTGTCAAAAATGTTTTTCCCTGCATGAAACCACCTCAAGCAAACACACACACACACACACACACACACACACACACACACACACACACACACACACACACACACACACACACACACACACACACAGTATCTATTTCTCTCAGACTCCTGCACTCTTTCTCTAAATTTCCGCTCCATCTCTTTCTTTCTTAATTGTTTATCAGTTTCTTTATTTTGGAAGTGTCAGACACATTTAACCCCTAAGTTAAAGTTTTAATTTGCATTTTGTTTCCATGAGCTTTTAGCCTTATGTTAAGAATAATAGTCAACTTTGACTTTACACCTCCATTATTGCATGAGAAAATGTAACATACCTGGGAGCTGCTGCTGAATAATTGAGGTAGACTCAGTCACCACATGCCGTGGACGCTCGCGCGCCTTCAGCTCAACTTACCACACAGTGAGCAGCCACGTTATGATATCAATACGGGTATTACAAAGATCAATTATTTACGCGGTGGAGAAGCTCCCTTTTTCACCTCACACGTCACAAACACCTCATTCGCCGCAGAGATATGAGTTCATTTTCAAGTTTGAAAATTGCGCAATCTCAGAGCGTATTATATATATTTTTTAAATTAAGAAGAGTTTTACAAGACGGTTGTAAAATATTTCACAACAGTTTACTTCCTTCATTTATTGTAATAAAAATGTAAAGCACATGAGATAGGGGCCTTCCAAAAAAAAAGAAAGATAGGAAGCCAATTTAATGCCATAAATTATAGACTGGTGTTAATCATCCTGCAGCATCAAAGAGAATATTAATAAGAGCCACTAACGTTTCCGTTAATTACAAAGTATTGATCTCCCGAGTGTTGAAACAACCCTCTGAAAGTCTCTCTGGGAAAATCACAAAACCGCGGGTTAGAGCCTCTCAATGGAGGATTCTGGTGGAAGCTTATCGTGTCTACTGTCTATCGTTATGTTTGTCATTTCTTTGCTCTGCGCAAACACATGGCGGATATTTTTATGGAAATAATGAAATAATCAATTTAACCAATACACCTACAAGGCCTAATTAAAATAAATTCTCCCTGGGGTGGTTTGACAAAAAAAAACAAAAAAAAAACGTTAAACGTCATACGCAGTTAAGTAATTTGTTTTTTAAACAATTGCAAAAATAATGAAACACTTCTTTTTTTCTCAGTTTTTAAGTAGGCTAACAAAAACACCTGTCTTCATTGAAAGGGCCTTACTTAAACGGTCATTCGTGACTTTTCGCCCCTAAACATAACAAAATGACTAAAATATTTTGAAGGAAAAAATACTTACTTTGTCAAACGAAAAAAAAAATAAAAAAAACATAGCCTATTTGTTTCCTCTTTTCCTCGATGCACCTGTTGTGTATCCGGTTTGTCTTTCCCATGAGTCAGCAGTCAGACTTCTCCTCCCAACTCCTCCACATTACTTCGTTTTATATCAATATATGATTAATATTGCATCGTCATTACTTAATAATTTCAAAGCCCATGCAAGGACGACACAACCCGTGACACGCGGACATTTATAATTCAAAGAGCATTAATTAGGGAAGCGCGTGGAGAGTCGCGCGTGATGCGACCTCGCGGTGTGAAAATTACAGAGAGAAAAAGGAAGCCTTTTATTTCCTCTGGCGCTTATATCATGTATGACAATACATATTTAATCCCAGCAGAGGTTCTGGGATTTATAAATAAAACAAGTGAGCCAGTTTCTGAAAACAAACAAATATTTTATCGCCTAATGGTGCTGCTCAGGATCCAGTTTGATTTCCCATTTCGTAAACTTCAAACATTATTGATATATTCTGCTGCTCAAAATGAATTAAATGAAGCTTCAAGCACACAAATCAAGTCGCTGCTTCAGAGAAATTTTAGAAAATTACCAATAATTTATTAAGTTTATACTTCACACATTTGAATCAAGTGAAACTATAGTGAGAAAAAAATAAATACTTAAATAAGGTGATTAAGGACTGTAGACTGTATATATCTTCGCTATATAATAAATATAGCTCACCTGTAATACTCCAAAACACGTTCACAGCAAAATACTAAAATATAGCAGCAGCCAAAGCCACACAAAGGTGCCTCATTTTATAAGATGGTGTCATTTCCTTTTCTAAATAATTCAAGATAAACAGACTCAGTGTGTCATACCGTGTGAACGCGTAATTATTCATATTTGTGCGTAAATGACTATCACACATTTCACGAACAGAGAAAATTAGTTTCCATCATCGACCTTGTAAATGTATGAAAAACAAATTTCGAATGTGAGTCAGTGAAGTTGAGGATAAACATTGATCCTGATTTAAAAAAAAAAAAAATCATAATTCCCTTCTCTTCTTAAAGCCTGGTATAATACCACTGAAAATCAAACAGCCTACCATTGAGGCCATTTTAACTCCATTTTAAAAAGTGAGTTAATATCCCTGAATGTGACAAACTGCCAGGGTGCAAAGTTCATATTTAGTGTGTGCAATAAACACGAGCAACAACATCAAAATCTGCCTCCTCACGGATCAATAACACAATCATTTATCAGTCCGATATTAATAACAAAATCGCTAAAAAGTGCAACAAGGAGTGGGTGACACGAACAGAAAATGTCAAAGTAAAAGTCTTTTGCAGGTAATCCCAGATGAGACGTGAAGAGCTGTTAATAATCCCTGTTAGTTAGGCTACTTAGGCTATTATTAATCACTCGATCAAAAATGTAGTAGGCTATTTTATTCATGATGATGTGTGAAACTCAGTGCACCGCAGAGTATTTCATTCGTTTCTGTTTCTGCCGCTGGTTACAAAACCACACTCGAACCACGTTCTTTTTCAGGTCCAGTTTCTCTGCGATAGCCGCGATTTTTTCCGAGGAGGGCCGAGGCTGGATGGCAAAGTAGGCTTCCAAAGAGCGCTTCTCCGGCGCGGCGATGGAGGTGCGCTTTCGTTTCCTCTCGCTCCCGTTGAAAATGTCCGGCTTACTGCTTTTCTCCCGGTAAGCAGCCTCTGCTTCCTCCAGCCAGGCCTGCAAAACTGGCTTTAGCGCGATCATGTTGTTGTGGGACAAGGTGAGGGACTCGAACCTGCAGATGGTGCTCTGGCTCAAAGATCCCACTCCGGGGATCTTCAGGTTGGCGAGAGCAGATCCAACGTCCGCCTGGGTCACTCCGAGTTTGATCCTTCTCTGCTTGAAGCGCTCGGCGAAGGCTTCCAGTTCACGCGGATCAGACTCTACGTCGTTGACGCACGCCATGCCGCCGTGCACGGACAGAGAGTGAGGGTGCGCCATTGTGGCCATCGCCTGGTGCAGCTGCCCCATGGTCTGAAGGTGGTGATGGGGATGCTGGTGGTGGTGCGCCGACGTGTTCATCCCGGGTGGCTCCGGAGCCCCCATCCCGGTCACGGCCAGGCTGTTGGAGAGATGATCCAGGAGGTCCCCGGCCTCCAGGGTCTGTCCGAGGTGGTGGTGGTGGTGATGGTGGTGGGAGGCGATGGTGGAGGGGACGTGGGAGATGGGCACGGTGGTGGAGGAAGAGGAGGAGGCTGAGGTGCAGGGGACACTGCTCATGGTATGGTAAGTCACGTCTGGTTTGAACGGGTGACTCTTGCCGTGAGAGACAATGCTGTCAGCAGCCGCCAGAGCCTCTGCCCGTGCCAGCAGGCTCTCATCAAAGCCTCCGAATATATTGCCCTGCAGCTGCAAGCAAGAGTGCGCATACTGGAGTCAGTGGGGAATTCTGTCAGGCAGAGCTCAGGATCTAAAAAACATTTTCCAAAGGCAAGCAGCGCCGAGGAGAGGAAAGAACCCTCCTCAAAGCGCAGGTCATAAAAATTAATATGAAAAGCAAGAGCATTGCTCGAATAGACATGTGGATGAGAGAGGAGGGAGGAGGAGGGGGTGTTGGGAGGGGGTGAGGGGGAACACAGACAGGAGAGAAAGGAAGAGATGGGGGGGGAGATAGAAGATAGAACAAAGTCCTGTCAAATCAACTTTACAGACATTTTCCAGTGTGATATTTTCCCTCCACTCTCCCCCCCACCCCGACCTCAAACGTACCTGCGGGCCGGGCAGACAGACTCTGCGCATGCCCTCCGAGCCTGAGTGCAGGCCGGGATACTTTGGCGGCTCGTGCAGGGCCGGGTGCATGGAGAAATGCTGCTTGCCGTTCATGGTCATCATCCTCCTCCCTGCAAGCAGCGCGCGAGCAGTGTGGCCCCTGACATTAAAGGCCGGCCGGAGGGGGGGGGGAAGCGGACGGACAGCCACAGAGCTCCTCTGCTCTCCTTCACCAGACTGAGCTGTTAACATGGGGCAGCGCCTCCCGGCATCCCTCTCTTCTCCTCTTCCTCTTCCCCCTCCTCCTCACCCCCTCCTCCTCCTCCTCCACCTACTCCTCTTCTTTCAGACTGCCTCCTCCTCCCTTGCTCCACCACTCCTATGCTCAGTTTACAAGTTGCAAAATGTTGGCCTTTGCGCGCAAGCCTTAAACAAACCAAATTAATATCACTGTAATTTCCTTCTTTTTTTTTAATCAAATTGATGATATCTTTATTGTACTGCTATATCGCATCATTTTGCTCAAGAAGAACTCTGTAATTGAAGGTTTGTTGAAGTAGTTTTTCACCAAAATGCTTCAAAAAGTCAATAAAAATTCAACCACTGGTCATATATTTCATTAGTATTTTTCAGCACCATGGACAGCGAACAAGGCGAAACGTGGTGTTGCACTAGTGAACAAAGATAGATAGATTGATTCTATATATGAGGCCTTTAGATTTTTTGTCCCAGGTGTCTTGCCCTCTTCTCCCCTGGACGCACTTCCTTCGGACAGCTTACAGACTTCTCAGGTGGCCGCCTGGTTTGAACTCACCATGCTGCTGTGAACGGGCCGAAAGAGGAGCTGGGGCGGGCAGAGTCGGGCCGGTGACACAGGGGGTCCATCTGATCCTGCAGGCCGCGTCTCTGGTTCCCCAGACGATGAATAATTCAGCAGCATGGTGGCAGGCATCCATTACCACGTTGGCATGTTCTCATTCATTACACAGATTAAAACAGCCCAAGGTCTTTTTTTTCACACCAGGTCAGCCTGTTGCATGTTGGGGGAAAACTTCGAGAGCCCCACGCGGAGAGAGAGAGAAAAAAAAAAACGGATTCCTTGATTTTCCATTTCCATTAACCAACATAGAGTGATGGAATATTTTTATTTTTTGACATTTAAAGATCTCCAATCACAAACTGGATGGTTGATTTATTTGATCTATGGAGTATACTTTATATGTCATGTGCCATTTCAAAATAAGGCCACATGTTGGAAAGCTGTGTCTATGGGGAGACCATTATGTCCCTTTTCTCATCCTCACATCACCCTTCCCAAGCCTTCTCCTTAATAGCTGTTAGCCAGGATCATTCATATTTTAGTGGTCATTGTTTACAACTCTGTCATCTCTGTGCTTTTCATATTCTGAAGATTGCATCTGGCATGTTCTATGGAGAGTGTTGTCATATTTGTCCCATCTGTACTGCACACACACTCCACCACATGAGCCCACTTTTCTTTCCCCACATTCATCCACTTTGTCTGCTATATTTCTCAGTCAGTGTATTTCAGTGAAATTGAATAGCTCAGTTATATATTTCCAGTTTCATAACTTATTATTTCATTATAAGCTTGCGTGATCCATGTGCCTACATATTTAGCAGTATCAAAAATCATGAATGCACTGTATCTCTTAACTACTTGAATGTGATGGTTATGTCTTACTTGTACAAGTATCAATTTTTTCTAAATCTACTTAACCCTAACTTCTGTCTGTTCTTAAGAATAATTATTTTCAAAAATTAAAAAGACTTGCTTGAATGAAATTCCTCAAGAAAACCATTAGTGAATACAATAATCTTATGTTTAACTTCACATCAATTACTTCTAATAACTAAACTGGTTGTTTTAGATACATTTAATATCGCTTTAATACTGTATAGCTTTTTTTAATACTGAAGGAAGATCATTAGAAGACTGTGTACCAGACAGCTCCTTGAGGCACTCCTACAGACTGTAAGAGCACTCCAAACTTCAAAACTTCGAATTAGTAAAAAAATAAGTATTAAAATTCACTGATTGCCTTCTATCAGTAAAAATGCTATTAGTAGTTTGAGAAAAACCACAACATTTTAAATAAAGTAACATTAGCTCATAATCAGTGATATCAAAAGCAGCAGAGAAATCAAGCATTAAAACACGACTCCACTCTATAGCCTTAAGCCAGTCATCAACCATTTGAGTCAAGGCAGTGGCTGTAAAATATTTTTCTCCATATTAATGCTGGAAAATTAGGATTCAACTATTATAACAAGACTGAATCTTTTCAGACACTTCTTTCCATTATCTTACCCATAATTGATTAAATACGTATTGGCAGACCATTGGAACCAGAGAAAGGCATTTTTTTAAATAAATCTTTAGGTACATTTATGATGTTTTACATGCTACAGTTTATAAAACCTATTGTCATCTTTTGGCCTAAGTAGAACCCACTTCTACCATCGCTGGTTCCTCTACCCACCAGTCAACAAGCCACCATGGTGATCTGCCAGGAGCATTGCACTGTTCAGAGGTTTCGGAATCTCTTAAAGCCGAGGGTCTCTACATTAAACTAAACAGACTTGTTTTCACTTGACTTCCTAAAGAAAGGGTCATGCATTATTCAGTGATATTTTAATATGTCGTAGACGTAGTGTGCTGTAATTACACAGACCGTCAGGAGTCCCTCTTATGATGTGGTAGGATTTGTTTAGGAGAAGTGGTGTTAAAATGAGATTCAGATTAATGATTGGCTTGTTCTCTTTTGAAAGATGGCACAGTGGATTCTATTGAATCATGTCTACTGTCTTGTTAAATGTACCTGATCATACGGGCTCATATTTTTGCACAATGTCAACACAAGTTTATATCATACCTATATCCAAACACTAGCCCCAATTAACCACCATTCTAAAACCACTGGTCTAGCAACAGCTAACATTATGCTCCCAGAATGCAGGCCTACTCATTTTACCTACAGTCTCTAAATGTACTACAGGAAGTGGAGCCAGCAGTGATCAGGCCCCTCTCCTTTGCAATCATCTACCAGCCAGGGTCTGAGAGGCAGACATTCTCTAACAGTATATCTTCTAGTTGAAGTTGAGCAGCTCTATCATACATTGTTGTTCCTGCTAATACTACACATCATTTTACATCTATAACTGGCACTCTACTTTAGCTTTTAATGTTTTATTCATTGCTCATTGTTGTTGCTCATGGTGGATAAATGTTGGATCTGTAAATAATATAAAAAAGACTAAGATCTTTTATCTCCTCTTTTTTTAAGTGTCTTGAGATAATAAAAAAAATCATAAATTTGTGCAATGAGAAAAATAGTTGACTGAAACTGAACTGATTATCTATAAATGACTCAATAAGTAGACATCAGAAATACTTACCTGCATCAGTTCTGATGTACTAGTAAATAGATGTTGATTACTGCCAAAGCTAATATTCATTGTGATTAGTTTCAACAATTTAAACATGGAAGAGATCTAGGGTTCTCATTACTTTGACCAATCAGTTGTTCACTCATTCAGCCTCTCATCTCTGCCATTTATAAGTGGATGCCAAAGAATAACCTTTGGTAGCAACTTTTAAAAACACATTCTGTAATCATTAACACTTATTTGTTCTTAAATCAACATTTCTCAGACACTACAGCTGTCTTCAGGTCTGTGAGGATAAGGAAATTCAGCTCACATCTGTAACAGAAATGGTCCAAATACTGACGTAATGTATACCGTTTCAGGTATCACTACTCTAGATCTACATTAACTAATAAATTAGACTTCTATGTTTCGGTTGCACACCATGAAAATAAAAGAGACCACACAAGAGTTTAAGGTTATATTTTCTGGAATGCTTTTGCTCGCTTTTTTTTTTCCATTGCCAATGTCACCTTCTTTTTTTGGTCAATTTTTTTTTCTGTAACTAAAAAAATGATCTTTTCTCTTTTTTTTCTCTCTCCAAGATCCTAGTCAGATTGTGTTTTTTTCTTTTCTTTTCCTTCCTTTGTTGGTTTTACAAGCACCCCATTCCTCCATCTTTATTGGCAAAAGCAAACATGCTAGTAAATTAGAAATCCATTTTTTTTTACAAACAAAATACATGAAGAAAATACATCCACATCCTGCAAATATAAACAGTAACAAATCCAAAACTATTATTCAATAAACATTTTACATGTTTTTACACCATTGTGTGATGGTAGCATACAGAAGATAGTACAAAAAGTGGGAGCAAGACCTTCCTTGAATTCTCATGTACACAAGCAGTATGGGATTTTTTTTGAACTGCCAGAGACTTCATTTAAAGAAACAAATATCTGTGAGGAAAACATCTTAAACTACAAAGTGCCAATGGAAAAATGCTTCAGCTTTCCATTGCATGAGGGCCTCTTTGTGCTATGTCCAAAACATGAGCTGAGGTTTAAATGGGAATATGAGGTCACTGGCAGGGGGGGGGGGCTATGTCAGTCATCAGTCCACAGTGAGATATGCAATCCAACCAAGAGTGCTACTAACAATATAGGTGGGAGGAAATTACATTTTCAAACTGGTCTGCATCTTTTACTTTTGAAGCCAGAGAACAAAGGAGATAATTGGTATGTAAAGTCTGTTAGTGACTTTCTACACATGCAGGCAAATATCTGCATGTCTGTAAAGGCTGGTTACCAGATATGATCGGTTAAGTTGAGTAATGATGAGCATACATCAAACAACGCTTCATCAGGCTGCATGTAAACATAGTTATTGGTTTCAGGGGAAATAACAGAGATGTCCTCCATTTAAATACCTGCACTGAGCTGTTAAAATACAGATTTAATGAATGTGATTCCTCCCACCATTAGTATTCTAAAATACAGTAAATGTAGAGAAGGCAAAAAAAAAAAAAAGGAAAGAAAAGAAGCATTTGTCATGAAATGTGCACATTGTAGGAGTCCTGTCTGACAGTGTTCAGATAGAGGCATAGCTGCACTAATGCACAAAAGAAATGGTGAGGTGCATGACTCCCAGAGTTTTCCATCGCTCAGAGCATCTCGGGAGAGATACTTTGAAAAACATGTGCGACTTTAATCACAAATTGAGTGAAATAACAGCGTGGACTGGCTCAACAAAAAAATAAAGAAAAAATACTCAAAACCTTCCGGACAAGCAGAGTTGAGAGCACTCTTGCTTTACCTTTCCTACTTGACAGAACTTTGCCTTTTAAAAAAAAATGAAATATGTAACGAAAATCAAAAAAACAAAAAAAAACAACAGTAATTTCTCTTTCAAGCATTTACAAAATTTACAAAAGTAAATCACAAATCTTGTAAAAATTCAGCCATCAGCTGATTGTGTAAGGCAAAGAAATTATATTTATATATATTAAAATCAACTCCTCCATGTTACATTCAAACACCTGTCTTTAGATCTCACATTTCTGAAATGGATGATCAGATCCTTGTCCTGTCAGGCCCTTTGGATGACCAGGAGAAAGAACGACACAAGTGGAAAATGTTACACACTCTTAGCAAATGTAGAACCCCTGTGAAGGTGCCAATTGTTACACCGAGTGGGACTGAACATTAACTGAGCGACAAAATACAAGATGGGAAATGTTTAGTATTTACTACAAGACTGTATGTGACGTGAATGGACACTGCCATTTGTAAACATAGTTTGGATTTTTCTATTGCACTGATGTCCTTCTGTACCTACACGGGCTCTTAAATAGTCAGGGTACAGTATCAGGTGTGGCCCTGGTTTATGTAGGAATACAACATGCACAAACTAGCATGTATTCATGCCAGGACAGAGACTGCGCTGTCAAAAATATCTGGATCCTTTAACATTTTGGAGTTACCGAAAGATACTATGAGAGGAAAGTGAAATGTAAAAACCACACCATATTGTGCGCCAATACAGGTTCAGCACAGTGCAATTCTTAAGAGGAAAAATAAATTAATATCTCTCTGGTTGACAAAGAGAACGTTCTTTTGGTGAAGGAATGGCTGTCCCTGAATAGAGGACAAGATTTTTCAAAAACTGGTGAGAAAAGAGCTTAAATACAGTATGTATAAAAATACCTATTCACAGTAGACACAAATGTTGTGCATTACTGATATCTATCATCTGGTAAGCACACTGAAACTTACATAGGGTTTTCTATCTATAAGAACAACTTAACATTTATTCTTCTCAGCAAAAGTGAGATGTTTTAAATAATTGTTTAGTCGAGGGGTACAAAAAGAGTCGTCCCTCCACACTTCTTCTCATGTACGAGACAGTAAAGGAAGCGTTTACTATGATTAGTCTAAAATTACTTTGTTTGAAAATACTGGAAAGGAACACAAAAAAAAAAAGAAAAGAAGTGTTGAGCTCTGTTGTGTTGTTTTTCTCTGCAGGCGGTGAAAAAAAATGACGACTGATTCTCCTTGAGAGCATTACGACGCCTTCATCGTCTCCAAGAACGACTCTCGTACTCGTCGTCTTCATCATCATCCTCTTCCTCCTCCTCCTCTTCCTCCTCACCAGGCAGGTAAGAGCTAGCTTCCTTCTGGTTCAATGAAAAATGAAAACAATTAAATATACTGCATGGTATCAAACATTTGGCATTCAAGATGGTTTTTATAGTGTGTGACGTTGGCTTAAAGCTCATGTGTCTAACCCTCCATTAAATGGGAAATGACTTTCAAACTTGTACTAACTCCCTTCTTTAGATTCAGTCTTAAAGGTGTGATAGAGGGGGGTGTTATGAGAAGGTTTAACTTGAGAAACAAGCAACGTCCCAAATGAGCTACAGTCTTAAAGGACGAGCATGTCTGTAGGTGATGGCTTAGTCCGAGGAAAGAATTCAGAGAGATTTTAGACAACTAAAAGTTAAACTGGAACCAAATTGTTTGATGGTTTTGATAAACCGTCTCTCGTCTATTTTTCTTTAAGGCGTTTTAACTGGCTATAAAACACGCTGAAATGAATACTGCTGCCTTTACATGACTTGAAAAAAACACAAGAGGCCATCAAGAATAAATTGGAATAAATGAGATTAAGTGCATACAAATCCAAATTGGCCTTATTAAAAAAGGCCATGGAAAAGATTTACAGAGTAGTAAATTTAAACCACAAAATGACATCAGGAGGATAAAAAAAATGAATAAATGGAATACTAAGTACGTATGTATAGGACAGAATCATTGAAGAGATGTCCATAGGGGGCGCAAAAATCGACAGAAAATGAAAGTACCTCACAGTAGATTTAAACATGTCATTCAAAGAATGTTGGGTTTCAATAGGTTCAGACTTTATTCTTTTAGCATACTATCAGCCACATGTGTTTGTTGTAGTGTGAGGTTGTCTGCAGACTCAGACCATCTGTTTCCAGGTGATGCATTCATGTACTGTATTCTGGATTCAACCAACCTAACAAACACCTTTTTGATAAAGTGCAATACAACAGGATTTATTCCTGGGGGTAGTTGTACTGAAGAGCATCTGACAGTAAAGGTGTGTGGGAAGCTTTTCTCTCTGTATTTCCAGCACAAAAGAGATTCAAGTGATAATTTGCTACCAGGGGTCTCTTGGAGAGGATAAATGAGCCCCTAACCCAAAAATATATGAAAGGATTTTACTAAAGGTATTGAAATACAAAGGTGTCTGAGTAGATCAGTTTTCAGAGAGACCTTGCACAACTTTTCTAAGTATTTAAAAATGACACTGAAGTGACCGAATCAGTAGTGACTTCACAAAGCTTTGAGTTGCGTTTCAGAGGCTTTGCACACAAACCTCAGAAATGCATCTCAACGCCTGAAAATACAGTATGAGGATTTCACCTGACAGTAATGCAGTTTTACTCGAAGGGCTAAGATGCTCTTAGTACTGAGAGGCTTGCTCTGATTTTCCACTGGGAGCTGTGGTTAAAAAATTTAGAAGCACCAGAAAGAAATGTAAAAGTAAAAATCTGTGAATATAACTAAAGCTGAAAAAAAAAAAAAAAAAAAAACTTTCCCCCACTTAGAATTTAGGATCTGCTCTCTACATTGACCTTAATTCCTGGTTTCTGGTTGGTTGTACGTTGCTGATGATAAAACATGCCTCCATGTTGTACATTATAGTCTGCGTTTGTGCGTCATACCGTATTGTCCTCATCTTTAGACTCCTCCTCCTCTGGCTCTGTCGTAACGGAGGGCGTCTTGGGCTTGTACCAGGAAATCTGCAGAACACGACCTTTGAACTTCGCTCCCTGGTTAGCGGCCTGGAAAACCATACAGGAGATAAGCTGAATGTTAAAACTTCAGTGTCTGCTTCTTTTGTACCAGCAACATTATTGTATCATATATCACAGTCATAACCCTTTAAGATGCTTCATTAAAAAGAGCGCAACAGATGGTGTGAATGAGACTCTTCTGACTTACATTCTCTGCTTCACTTCTTGTCTTAAAGGTCATAATGACGGTGTTTGCATCTTGGTCACGGATATCCTCGATGTCACCAAATTTCTAAGAGAAGCAAAGATTTAACATGTGCACCTCTTGATTCTCCAGAAAAACAATGAAGAAAAAAAATGAACACAGCTCTCACCACAAAGTGTGGCATCAGCTCTTCCTTCTCCTCCTGAGTGACACCCAAAATAGCCAGAGCTCTAGGTCTGTGGTCGACCACCATGCGGTTCACAGAGCCGCTGCGAGCCATCATGTCCCGGCTGCGTCCCCTTCCACGACCCACGTGCATCGAACCTGGCTCCAGCGCCATCTTACCTCGACCCCGTCCCCGACCGCCAGGAGCCCGAATCAGTCCCAGCCGAGTGGCCTGAGGAAGGACAGATTGGGAGGTGTAACGTTATAAATAGCTAACAGGCGGATGCTTTATTTCAGTACACACTGAGGAGAATATATGGACACAACATGACTGTGTTAAAAAAATCATTACGAGCAGATGTGGATAACAGATTGTGAGCCTTCATGATTTGCTGTTGTGCTACAAGATGTGAAAACAAACATGCCATAAAACTAAAGTGTTTAATTATTAGGCGTCCACCAAAACAAAGATTTTTTTCTCAGCAAACAAGTCAATGAAAAATCCAATAAAACACATGAGAGACTTTAGAGTTCCGACGTCACTCTCTGACTTTCACCAGTACGTGTCACTCCTCTATATTTTAAGTGACATTTCCTCACTTCCCCACCATTCTGCAACCAACCATGCAACCACTCTCTTCCTCACTTCTCCCACTAATTGTCATCCTGCGAATATCTCACAAGGAACAGCAGCTCAAACATTAATGAGACGGGGCTCCGTCAGCGAAGGACCAGAGTCTGATGTGGCTTCGTTAGCGGCGGTTCCTCTGGGCTTGCTTAAGTGGCTGTAGTTTAATGTGCAGAAGGAGGGCTGGGTTTGGATGGATAGATGGTAGAGGGGGGGAATGCATTTTTAATAACTAGATAAATTAGGACCCACTGGAGTAGATGGGGGGGGGGGACATGCCAGGCAGGGTGTTGCTAACACAAGCTATGTTCTTGTCACAGCTGACCTCGTCTGTGTTTGTGTGCACAGCTAGTTGAGAAAGGAGAGAAGATGTGGGGACAATTTGCGCTGCCCACCAGCTTTGGGCTGTGACTTCATTCAAAATAGTAGACTAGTGAATTTGACAGTAAATAGATATTTGGATGAACACATTTACTGAAATCCCAAATACCTGATCATTAAAATCTGAACAAGACTGGAAAAATGTGCACTGCACAACATTCTACTTTGATTCATATTTTAAATACCCCGTATAACACACCAAGTAAACAGATCACTAAATAACATCTACAGTTAATGAGTGATTGTGAATTCCACTGCATCTTTCAAACGTCACTTATACACAGAACAAAACCTAAACAAGCTCAGTACTACTCACTGATTTACTCTCTATAAGCTTAGTATGATTAATATAATTCAACCATATATGGTTAAATGTATTCCACTGATGCCTATCAGTTTGTATTCTTCACTTCTCTCTATAGGTTTATTCTGTTTGATTTTATGTGGTGCCTCTGTTTCCATACATGTTGTTCCCTCACTTTCCTGTTTTCCCTCTATTTTCAGGCAGGAAGTGCTAAATGACATAGTCCACTGCTATCTTGTATGCTGACTTCTTCTGAAGCATTTCAAACTTTCACATCCTAAGATTCTGATAAGTGTGACGATGCAACCTGTTTGTTTTTTTCGGTTTGTCCATATATGGTCAGGTACCACATACATGTGTTTGTGTGTGTGTGTGTGTGTGTGTGTGTGTGTGTGTGTGTGTGTGTGTGTGTGTGTGTGTGTGTGTGTGTGTGTGTGCGACTGCCTGTGTGTTACCTCCACTTGTAGCTGTCCTAGTTTTCTCTTGAGATCAGTTGTATCCTCTCCAGAGATCATCTTCTTGTGAAAGTCTAGCTCAGCATCCAGCAATTCCTTCTGGGCCTGTTGTCATGTCAAAAAAAACAAAAAAACATTTTGTTAACTAAATAGAGAGGGCAATGACAAACTCACACAACTAACCTGCAGTTACAGAGTCTGCAAAACAAGAGCCATTACAGGCAGAAATGAGAAATAAATCATGTCAATGTTTGTCTAACAACGTCATTAATGTAGGATGTTAAAAAATAAAGGATTAAACTAGAATGGATGACAGTTGCTAGTGGGTTGAACTACTCATTGATATTATTGCTGGTTAAATGATGTGTGTAAGAGGTAAGCCCTCCACTGCCCGGGACTTGAACTGCTCTCCCCGCTCTTCTGACTGGCAGCACAGTGTACGGATGGCATCTTGTACGTAAATGGTAAAAAGTAAATGGACTCCAGCTTTGTTTTGCTTTACTAGTTTTCTGACTTCTCAAAGCTCTTTTTTTACACCACAGGTCACACTAGTCTACTCACACACTGATGGCAGAGGATCTTTTGTAAAGCGTCCATCAGTATTAACTAATCCATTCATACACCTTCAAAAGCTGCCAACAAAGCAGCCAATTGGGATTAAGAGTCTCGCCCAAGGACACATCGGACACGTGGCTGCAGGAGCTGGGGATTGACCTTCCGCTTGAGAGACGACCGACACTACTACCGAGCCTCTGCCGTAGAAAGTTTAAAGGCATGGTTGCCAATTCTGAAAATCTAGCCAGATTTGAAAAGTAACATCTCCTTAGGGCTCTGTCCAAACCCAACGCCCTCCCCCCCACCCCTCCCCTCGGGGCTCCTCGTGACAGAGCTGAGAGAGAACCTCTACATTGTTCTCAACTTCATTCAAATAAGTTTTCTTGAGTCTCATTCAGTGGTAGAAAAACCCCAAACAGTATCAAACTGAATTTAAAAAGCGAGCATGGTTTGGGGGTTCTGAGTAAAATTACCAACCCTACCTTTAAACTGGCAAATAACCAGTACTGGTAGCGTTAGCGTCAAACAGCAAACTAATTAGTTATTTTTTTTACCCGCAGAGTGCCATACATTTCAGCTGTGTTTAAAATAGCTGTAGATTTTGTTATTTAAGAATGTGATGAACTGTTTCAAAAAGCAATTTAACATGCTGTATGCAATATGATTTTGGACAACCAAAGCCGTGTTAAATACATTGTGCACAAGTTTGACTGTATTTGACTGTTTTCTTATCTATTAGAGTAGTTGACTAGTCTGAATTTAAATTTTGGTTCTGTTAGTGAGAGAAATTAGATGCTACTAAAATCCCTAGACTAAGTGTTTCTGTGTAAACCCAACAAAAGCTCAAGTTTACATCAATCTTGGTCTTAGGCTGGTTGTGGTTGGATTTTGCGCTGGGGACCTGGGAGGCTGGGTTCATTTCATTCTGCAGCTGTGCGATCTTCTCGGTCAGCTCCTTCAGAGTCTTCATGATGTTGGCCCTCTCCTCAGGTTTCATCCCTCGGTTCTTCTCAAGGCGGTTTATCAAGACCTGGAAGAACAAGGACAGCAGTGAGAGAGATAATGTAAAGGCAGGGACAGAAAACAGGAGAACATGTACAGATGCAAGCATTGGATTTAAGAATAGAAAGAAGCTTCACACAAGTCATTGAGGGATTTTTAGTCAGAAACAATGGATAATTCAAAAAGAGACATGTGTAGAGAGAGTTGTGTAAATGTGGAATAATAAAATGAAATAGATGGGATAGGATGGTGCATTCAGGCCAGTCTTACCTTCTGACACTCAATCTGTGTCTTCAACATCTCTTGCTTCTGCTTTCGCATGTCCTGCTGTAGTTTTAATGCCTCCTAATTGAACAAAAGCAATAAATCAAATACATTTACTAAAATTGAAAAAGACACCATTTGCTGTTGGTGGACGTTTATCAATGGTAGCTTCCCTGTGTCTGGTGGCCCCCCCTGGGAGAAACAAATGGCTAACCCTAGTTCCTATTCTGGTAGCAGTCAAAATAAGTAGTAAAAAATTAAGCAACATGCCTGCTTCTTCTTGAGGACTTCCTGTGCTTCTAGTGCTTTTCCTGTTTTCCCAAGGCTCTTTGAGGAGGACTTATGGGCTGTGGATGAGTAGGGGCCCTTCTGGGCGTTTGTCAGTGTAGGTGCCACCTAAGTGCCACAGAAAGAGAGATTATAATGCATTTAGGTAATCTGAAAGAGTTTGTAGAAAGCTGCCACGGACACCGACAATATGCATTGTCAATTTCCAACAGCTCATGCTTGTCCCATCTCGTGATGCATGAAACAAAAAGCTTTCTTACTGTATTGCTTTCTTCTTTCCGAGAAAAGTCCTCTTATTTTTTCTGACACATACTGTGAGCTATGTGATACTGGGATTTGATTGATAGTTACACTGAACTTTAGATTTCACATCTCTCATCCTATTGTAGATGAGATTTAAACATATATCAGTATATCTGTAAGTCGTATGCACCACTACCTGGGAATCTCCATACATAGAAGAGGTGCTCTTTGTTACTATAGCAACACCATGAGCTCAGCATTTTTAGGTTTTCCTTTGACATCTAGTTGAAATATATAAATACAATTTGGTATAGACATTCATGTTTCCCGGAGGATGGACTGTAATAACTTTGTCAACCCTTAATGTTTCGTTCCAGCAGCACCATCAGTTCAACATTTGGATCAGACACTTTGGTTTAGGACCAAATACTTGTGACTTATGAATCCCCCCTCAGCCTCAGCTGGAATGTGTGTTAGGTGTTATTAAGTTAGAGTTAGAATGTATTCATCGTCCTAACAGCTACTGCTCAGCACCAAAGTTATCAGGTTTACTTGTGTACATGAAACAATATGTATTAGGCTTTATATTGTTACCAGGTTAAAACATCTCCTTTGCAACTGATTGAAATTTCAGATGCTTTGCTCTGTTTAATCATATAGAGGTTTCAAGATGCAGTTTTTGCTCGTTACGGCTTTTAACCCAGTTCTTATCAGAATATTTGGCTTCATGCACACAAAGCTGCACAGCATGTTGGCATGGTGACAACACAATAGGCCTTCCCTTATCTGCATTTCTACTGAAGATATAAATAAATGTTTTACTCTAAGCCAACTTTTAAAAAAAATTGATTACTTGAAAATGTTCTCACACTTACAGTGACAGCGTCTGCATTTGGGTTCAGGCTGTCTTGCTTGGTTGGAGCTGTCGGGCCTGCTGAAAGGCGATGCTTAGGTAGAGTATTGTTCAACACGTAAGCAGCAGGATTGTGCTGCTTGATTCCCTGAGGTGTAAATAAGAGAGAAAACAGTTTTACAGTTGGGTTTTAGAAATACATTAAGACAAAAAGAGTCTTCATGCGTCAGCTCCTAATACTGACCTTATGAATGTTGCTGTGCTGCGGCGCTTGGCTGGGTGCTGTTCCAGCTGCCTGACTCCCTGAGCTCTGCTCCTGCTGCTGAGGCCCTGTGGCGTTGGAGCCAGGCTCACGGTGCCAATAGACACGAATGAAGCGGTTGTTGAGGACTGCTTCGATGCTGGATATGGCCCTTCTGGCCTCTTCATTCTTTGTGTACTGGATCAATGCTGCCTCTGGGTCTCCTCCAAACACCACCTGATTTTAGAGTGGGACGTAAAGGTTAGGTTTGTGTATATGGTGGAATAAATTCTTCTGCTGAGATGAACAACATCCGCTTATACTGACAATACCTTCAACTACTTGAGCATTGATGCAAAGGCAAAAAACTGTCATTATAGTTTCACTGTGAGGGACATGTCTACGAGCAACTCAGGAAGATCTCAGGGACAGACTGTGCTGACATTTTCAGGAGTGCATGTTTGAAAAGGGCCATGCTGCTTTCTATCATTCCCATATAAGGCTTACAGAAAAACAGATTCAGTGAATGTGACGTCCCGGTACATTTTCACTTGCAAATGGTGTGAATCCTGCACTGTGCGTCTATCATGAGTAATACAAAAATACCAACTTCAAATGACTCCCGATGGACTATTAGGCCAAACAAAGTTCTCTGAGCACACAGTTCAAATACCTTTTAAACTGCAAAAATGGCCGACATACCTGAATATTAACGATGGTTCCAAACTTGCTGAAGTGTTCATTCAGCTTGGTGATGTTGTTGAGTTCACGTGGGATCTTGCGCACCTCCAGCTTAGTGTTCACATAGTGATACCTCTTTGGAAAGCTGCTCTTGTGTTGGTTGTTAAAGCCTGGCCTGAAACAAAAGGAAGAAGACTGTGTTGTTGCTTACCATAGCAAGATAAATAATTCCCCAAAGAAAATGCTGATTAAGATTTTGGACAAGATCACAAGAAAAAGGGTTCCTGCTCTGAAAATGTACTAAATAAGACCTAAAATTGTTTTTGGTCTTTCTGGTGCTTTTGTGTCATGGCAGGTCAAGACACATCAATGTATTGCATGGACCAAGCTTCAGAGTTTTTTTTGTTTGTTTTTTTAAAGGTACTTTGCCTTTCAAACTTCCACATCTTAATCTGAGGTAAAACTTTTCAAATGTGCGTGTCTTTGAGTCCTTACTTCTCCATCCAGGGTTTTTTAACTGCAGGTCCCTCAGCTGTACTGGGTCCCATGGTTCTCTTCCTGTTGTCCTGCTCTGTGTTGAAGCGGGGCACGTTACTTCCAGGAGTGCTTGCTACAGTGGCAGGCTCTGTCTGGATCACTATGTTGGCAGCTTGAAGACACACACACACACACACACACACACACACACACACAGTCAAAATAAACACTGGGAACTTTCCTATTACACATCAAGTGTCAAGGTTAGGTAAACAAAGTGTTTGTGTTCTACCTCTGGAGCCTTGTCCTTCGTTGGATGTGAGGCCAATGAGGTTAGAGCGTTGAGTCTGCACCCGGGGAATGAACTGCCGGTACGGGTTCCTACCTGCTGTAGTCAGGCCTGGGGATTCTGGGTTATATCCCTCTGGATCATAGTTATCTAATATCAAAATAAACAAATTAAACACATTAGCAGGTTAATGTTTTAGAGTGAGAATGGAGCATTTTAGACCTTAAACAGTGATGTGAAACAGCTGACCTATAGACAGATAAGATCAAATAAAAAAACACAATGACATCAATCTGTCCTACATTCATTAAGAGGAAGTTTTGGGTTTTCTAAAACACCACAATATACTGTATAATAGTGTGATTAGTTGATCCAAAGTGTAATCACATACAAAGGAGCTTCTATGGTGGTATTTTTTTTTTAATCTGGGTTGACTTAAGGACAAAAATGAGTTTGTAATGAACTAAAAACAGAAACACTCCATCTGAAGCAAACTAAGCTTTTACTGTAGAAATGTGTAATTATTTAAATTAGCACTCAGCACAATAAGATGAAGCAGAGGTCATGCGAGTTGCTCTTAGCTACTCTTTCTCTTAATAAACAGTGCAACCTTCTGGCCAATTACTGTTACTGCACCCGGAGGAAATAAATAACACTCAATGCAATACATTACACACAAAGCAACTTCAAAAGGCAGAAAGGTGATACCTCTAGTCTACATAAATCAATCCTAAATCCTTTGTACTTAAATTCAGATAAATCGTGAAATGAATTCTGCCTCCTCAACACACAGTCCCAATCTGAACAGGAAAAGCATCGCTGCTTACATTCAGACTGGACATATTGGGGACGAAGAGACACAGAAGAGGACGAGGAGGGAGGAGGAGGTGGAGGAGGAGGAGGAAGAGTAGGCGGCAGTCCCACACCAGGTGGTCCAATAGGAGGAGAGGAAGTGATAGCCGATTGGTGGTTTGGGGTGTCAATCCCACTGGTTACTATCAGTGGGGGTCCTGAGGGAGACATAAGCCAAAGCTGATGTCTCAGGTATATCGCAGGTATGACAGAAAGGCTTTTGTCTGAACTATTTAGACTCACATCATTCCACACAGAGAGAGTTTCAACATGACATGCTGGCTGTGACAATTACTGCAATTCTTTACCATTACAATAAAAAACACGTTTCAGATGATTAGCTATGTAAAACCATATTGAAAGAAATATACTGGAGTTTAGGTTTGTTCATTAACTCTGGCTTATGCATCACAACTTTTTTTAATTCAATGAAAAATAAGAGAATATAAGATCTGTCATTTTTTTTTCTTTTCTTATGTGTATAATGATCAAGTCAAACTGATGTCTCAGACATGACTGAGCTGATTAACACGTGAACCAACAAGCTCATCACAACAATGTGAGAAATAGATTTATTAAGTCTGACAAAAAATGTAAAGTTTCAATTGATTGATAAGTAAACTCAACTATTTCACTCCATATATTCAAAATGTCAAACAGAAAATATTCACTTTGAGTAACTGCAAAACTGTAAATCTTACTAAAAACATGTTTAGGGGAAGAAAAAGTAGACTTTTAAGTTTAAAGGAGATTAAATATCCCAAATGACTTTTATAACTTACCAGTCATGGGGAAAACGCCTGGTGGTGGTGGCTGGCCATAGGGTGGGGGTGGCATTGAAGGCATCCTGAGGGGAGGGGGTGGCTCAGTGATGGGGGGCATCGGGAGGCCAGCAGGGGGCATAACGGGTGGAGGTGGGAAGGGAATCATGTTGGGTAGATTGACATCATCCACAATGAGAGGATCGTTGCCATGGTCGAATGGACACAGATCTCCACGGACACAAAATCCTTTTTCTGTTTGAGGAGGAGGAACAGGAGTTAGAAATCTGCCCTTTTGAACTGAGATATTTAGGCAGGTTAGAAGTCAAGGACGGCATAATCAGACGTACTCTTAATATTAGACTTTCAAATCTTGAAGGAAGATGGGTTCGTTTACAAAAATAGGACTTACAGAAAATGAGAACTAGTGACAGAATAGTTTGAATAAACAAACAACACTTCAGATCGCCCAAGATCAAAGCAGCTACGGTCTAAAGAGTATGCATTTACCCAACAGTCTCGTTAAAAAAACAGTTTCCCTCGTGTTTGAGCACTGTGACAGAAAGCTGTGTGCTTCAGGGACAGTGGGTAACTTTAAACCCTACAGTGTCTCTGGAGAGGAGAGGACTGCTTAACAGTGGTCATTAGTGATGAGACTAAACAAGGCAATCAATGACCCTCATGGGAAGATGATGGGAGAATTTACACAATAAACAGGCACATTTTGACAAAGACCATATTAAACCTATACTACCTACAATATCAATAAAAACAGTCTTTAGAGGAAGAAAACAGCAGCGATCAATAGAATGCAGGCTTTAGAGGGAAAGATGATTAATATGTTCCTACCATCGTAATCCCTGCACCGCTGTTTGAGAGAAGAAACCTTATTGTTGAATGGCTTCACCACACCATCTTGCCTCTGGGTGCCGTAATAGCCTGACCAGCTGTCTGTGGTGCTATCAGGCAGGTGAGCGGGCGTTGCTACAGGAGGGCCTCCGGCTCCTGGTACTCCTACAGAGGAAGAGGAAGAGAAGGGGTGCGGAGGTGTGGGCAGAGGCAGAAGAGGCGGTGGATGTTGCTGCGGCGGGCCTGATGTTGTTGAAGAGTTGTAGCAGTCGGTGTCCTTACGTTCCGACTCGAACTTTGACTTGAAGTCTGTAAAAGGCAAACAGGTATAAAGGTTTTGTATACAGAACATAACTAAGTATAACAGTATAGAGGTGGACGATACCTGAAATTAAAATCCTGACTTGCTTTCATTGTGCTAAAGATTTTGAGATGAAGATTAACCTTGCGGGTAAAAGTACCAATCCAAGCTCCTGTAGTTGAATCCCCAACGATGGGATGGCAAAGTAGTCCACATTGTTCTTTATCGATAATAACTCAAATACTGCCAACAGACTTAAATAAAAGTCCTAAAAAAGGACTGCTTAAAAAAAATCTCAAACTTCAATCTCAAGCACAATCAGGACGTCTCCAGCAGGTTGTGTGCATCACTAATGCTCAGCTCAAGTGTTCTGACGGGAGTTTAGGAACTCCTACACGCCCTAATGGCGCTCCCCTGTGCCCTGTTGTCATTGGTTGTGTGGCTTCCCGTAAGGTAAGGTGGGGTGGGGAAACGTTCTCACCTCTTCCTCCTCTGTGCTCCCTGTCCCTGCTCTTTCCTCGACTGCCGCTCCTGCTTCTGCTCCGGCTTCGGCTCCGGCTGTAACTCCTCCCGCGGGGGCTCCCCCTGCGCCGCTCGTGGCGCTCCCGTTCTCGGTGGGAGTCATTGCCGCTTTTCCCGTGCCGGTCGAAGTCACGTCGCTTGCGCTCATCTCGCCTCCTGTCATCTCTGCTCCTGCGCGGTTGGATAAGAGGGAATATAGCTGAATATTTGTCTTAATAACTATTTGAAATGCCAATCCTACAGTTTTTATGAAGTACCTTCAATAATGTTTCAGTGTGAAACCTCTTTCTTTGTATTTGCTCCAAAGCCTCCTAATAATCTGCTGCTCTTTAAAACACATGTTACACTTCAACTGTTGTTTGAATCAAAGTTCAGCTGGTGCTGTATTCTTGTATTCGTTGTTGACTTGGTGGGTTACAGACAAGGGACTGGCTACTGGTCACCAGGGCATCACCTTACAAGACGGGCTTGTGGGATTACAACTAGCCATGCAAATATATCCAAATGATAACATCCCTGCACAACTCAGCAACGCAACTGACTTGGTTGTTATCAGCAATAACATGTTTGAACCCTGTGAATAGGAAATGCAAGCAATATCTGCATGTGCCTCAAACGTGGTCATTCAAACTGAAATGAAATGAAGTGAAATGAATGTCTGAAGCCGAAGCCATACCTCGGCTCATTGAAGTCGGAGCGGTTTCTCAGAGGACTTCTCCTGCGCCTGTTTTCTCTCTCCTCCTCTGGAGTTTCAGCCTTATGGGGAAAGTTAAATTAAATATAAAGTATAAAGGAGGAGATGTAGAAATACAAAAAAATCACACTTTATAGTTAACAAAAAGTCCATTATCCAAATACATATTCAATGCTTCTTACCTCTACTACTTCAGGTTTGATTGTAAGTGGAGGTTTGATCTCCTCTTTAGGTGGCTCCTTAGCAGGTGGATTTCCCAGGTAGTTCTTGGTTGTCAGACATTCAAAAAGTTTATCGACAAATCCAACTGTATCTGTTACAAGAAAAGGAAATAATGTCAATGGATGAAATCTCTTATTTGAACTAGACAGAATGTTGTCTATTCAAAGCGTCAATTGGCCCCTCGGGCATGAAACATTCAGACATTCCTCCTGAATCCCACAACACCAACTTTTTCTGTCATGGAAGAGCCTCAAGAGTTTAATTAAACAGTAAGAGAATTGTGTTCCACCTCAGAACTTATTGCAATGTTCAGCCAATCATTTCAAAATGGATCTCCGAGTATACTGGGGAACAGGTGTTACATGTCATCAAAAGAAGCAGAGAGGGAAAAGTACAGTATGGTTGATTTGGTCAGAAACAGTCCAACACAAGGCCTAGCCACCTAGCGTTTTTCTTTCCTGTGTGCCGCGTCTTTTTTCAACAAGTAAAGAGCGTTCACAGCAGAAGGCGGTCACCCGGGGAGAAAAGGTGCAGCGTCCAGCGTTTTTTTTACGAGCACTCTTTTCCAATTGTATTAATTAACCGTATTTATGCCTCCTATATATCTAGTACAAATTCTATGCTCCTGACTTCATTATAAGTAGTTAAGGTTTTTGTCTTCACTTTCCTGAACACAACCAACTAGGAGAGGAACCAGAGAAAATATGCTAAACAAAAATGGATCATAAAATATCAAAAAACATTGAATGATCTTATAATGCAATCTCTTAGTTATAAAAAACATCATCTAAGGGCCGTCAAGTTCTAACAGGGCGTAGTTGCTTTTTCAATCACGCACTGAACAACAGCACATATCATCTTTCTAAGTTCATGTTTGATGTGCAACAGTCTGGAAACAGATGGGAGTACTTTCAAATAAAGTAACTCGCCCTCTGGTGGCCATTTCAGAAACAACAAGCGGTAGATGGAGAGAACATACAGCTGATTGCATATCTGACTGTAGAGATGCATCACTTTAACTCATGGTAAGGTGACATGTTAAAAGACACCATATGTATTTAATATTTTTGCATATTGGATTTTTCATGAAATAAAAATGTTAAAGCTGCACTAACATGCTGACGCTGCCTGTGAGTACAACACTAACTACATATAGTGACTTACTAAGTCTGACTGCCCTCCGGTGTGATTTCGAACCACTACTTGTAACAAAAACAAGAACCCTGGTCAAAAAGGTCCAAATGCCCTTTTAGGTTTATGATTATTGAAAAGGATATTGTCTATAGGAGCATTAGGTGAATTAAATAAATGTTTTATTTTTTATCTGAGCTGAATGGTGAAAATCTGTTCTTAAGAAAAAAAAACATCTGCACAACATTCCTCACCCTCAATACTCATGGTAAATAAGAAAACAGCATGATGCATTCACTGACACTAACAGAAACATTTTGGTTGGAGTTATACCTTTTTGTAGGAAGACATCAAGCTGATCAGCACAGAGAGCTTTCAGCTCTTTCTCTGGTTTGTCCTTCTTCACAAGAGCCACCACATAGTTGGCTAATGCCGAGGGGTCAGCATCACATCTGCAGGTTAGAATTAATGTTTTTTAACCAAATCAATACACAAGAACAAGGGAAATACTTTTAGTTTAAACAGTAGAGACAAATTGGGACAAGACGAAAGTACAACATGAAACTTAGTGAAATATACTGCATCACTCAGCGAGATGAGCCGCCAAGATATCAATGCGAGCACAAATTTCCCAACATTACCAAACTATAGTCATTAACAAGCGAGACCCCTAACAAGACCTGCAAGGTAGAACAACAACACATTAAAAGAAGCTTCCTAACTTACAAGTAAAATTAAAAAAAAATAAACTGGCACTTTATGTTTAAAACTCATCTACACCAACAGATCACACGAAAAGGAGGAGAGAGCACTTTAGCATCAATGTGCTAATATATAACTAGCAGCACAACTGAACGGCTATCAGCGGATACAACTGCAACCTCTCAAAATTGCCTTCACTTCCATTCGAATTTAAAAAAAGTTTAATTTAAATCCAAATAGCCAGAATACTTTGATAAATAGCATTGGAAAATACTGACTGAAATGATAACTTTGAATTTCATTCAAACTTGCTCTGCAAATAGGAAATTGATCTTCAGATTTAAAAACAACCTGAGTGTCACATAGTGACCTTTGGTTAGAGGCTGAAACAACATAAAAACATTCACACCCACGAGACTCGCATAAAATCACACCAAAGGTTACATAGATTAATAAAAGCACATGTGCAGAGTACATTAACAAGTTTGTATCCTGCCTTGTTTAAAATCCATATTGCAGTGGATTCAAATCTGAAAACTGTAAATCTATTCTACCCTGTCTGTAAAGTGATTGAAGCCATCTCGTCAAACTTCAACTCAGTTCAGATTCATGTGGATTAAAAATGTTCTCTTGTTGCCAGAGAAGACAGTGCAGCAGCTTGGGAGCGCTGTCAAGAGCATGGTAGTAAGTGTGGGACTGCAATAGGTGCACTACTTGAACATTGAGGTTGTGTGTTAACACAGTTCTCAGAGACTTGCAGATTTGCCTTTATAGCTGACAGGTAATTTTATCAGCGCTCCGGTGTGCATATTTTAAGTTTACTGTCCAGTTTAACCTACATTTGTGATAGGCTGTTTCAACTCAGTCAACTATCATACTTCGCTATGACTGCTAATGCTACACATCATTTTACTGACATTGTGGTTATACATATCTATTTCATTCATTGTTTTTCCATCTCTTTTTTTCCCCCCTGCATCTCTCTTTATCCCCTCACAACCCAAACACAGTTTCATCAGATGGCTGTTCAACACGAGCCTGGTTCTGCTCGAGGTTTCTGCCTCTTAAAGGCAGTTTTTCTTGGCCTCTGTAACATTGCTAACTCTTGCCCATGCTGTGCTCATGATGAATTATTACTGGTTGGCTCTTTGTGAAGGATATAACAAGAGCACAGTCTAGTCCTGCTCTTTTTGTAAAGTGTCTTGAGATAACATTTGTTTATGAATTGGAGCTGTACAAATAAAGACTGACAGATTGATTTTAAAGAGCTTTCTATCTTGAAAAGAAAGCTCTCCAAATAAATATAATTGTTCTATAACTTTACACATCAACTCCTTAGATCACTTTCTTGTGAATGTTTAAAGTACAAGTGTGTCTATGACTGTTCTTTGTGGCAATACATGTCTGAAACTTGTAATTATAAAGTCATTTAAAATAATTGAGAGAAGTTGAAAGGGAAGGGGAGGGAAGTAAAAGTATGTTACTATGGTAACTTTACATGTAAACAATTCTCTTTTGTTTTTTTAAACATTTATTTAGCTAATTATAACAACGCTGGCTTAAGTGTTTTGTCACTTATTTATATCACATACTGCAGCGTACAAGTTGGCTATCTGTTGCAGCTAGATGCTCGCTACAAAGCTGTGATAAAGTGACATTATCGTGAGTCAACTATACGTGCCTATGTACCCTAAAATAACAGAGCAACACACATGACACATAGTGGATAACTATCATTTCTTTCGCATTAGTGGTTGGGGGGCGGGGGGGGAAAGGTCCCACGAACTCACTGTGTTGTGAAACATCAACTAGCCGCAATGTGGTGAGCTAACTCGTGCAAGAATTTACCATTAGATTCTAGCAAGCCCTTCATTGATGCCAAGCTAAACACACTGGCTAGTAAGCTAACGTAGCTACGTAGCATGCAAGCTAAATGTCATTTCAATTCAACAACTCACATTGGCTCCAGGAGTTTTGCCAGCCACGACTTCAAGGCGTCAACATTCTCTATGATCATCGTGAGGAAACCCAAAAATAACTGTCTATAAGATGAAAGTGCGTTTAGATAACCCTACTTTCATCGTCTATAGATTTAAAAGCTTTAAGGCCTTCTGTCTCTCTCTTCACTGGCAGGTCGGACAAAGTGTTTTACGGCATGGCAACACTGGTGGAGCTGTCGTAACGCAAGCCAGTAGTAGACTTGTGTTATAACCATACAGTGTCGGTATTAAAACGATGTTTGTAACTGTATATCTGTGGGGCCTGTAGTTCTGTAATAACATTTAGAGAATGAAAATCAACACCTAACGCGTAAATATCCTATTTAAAAAAAATATATATCTAACAGTACGACGCCTGAAAAATAATTGGACTACATTTCCCAGAACTCCCAGCTGTGTGTCATCAGCCAGGTACCGGCGTGGGTCTCCCTTGTCACACTGGAAACTACTTCTACTATTGCTTCTGTCTTTATTAAAGGATAGCTAACAGCACGGGGAATTGGGTCAAAATGACGGTAGGGCCAATTATCTTATTAACATGTCTTTGAAGTATTCGATAATTGTTTACAGACAGCGAAAACGTTTTGTCTCTTACATTAACTTACATTAGCTATTAGCTAAGCAAGCTAACACAAGCTAGTTGTCGAGACAGCTGCAGAAATCCACTTGAAAGAAATCAGACTTGGCTGGTGCCGAGAAAGAATACAGATACTTTTTTTTTGAATAGTTTATATTTTGTATCATAGTCCTGGCTATTTTATAATTAAACTAATTGCGTGTTATGCTATGTTGTTGTACTATTTTTTTTTTTCATATCTAATGAACTTACATTTTTATTCTTGAAGGAACGAAAAGGAACAGCGAAGTTGGACTTCTTAAGAAAGATTGAGCAAGAGATCCAGGAGAAATGGGAAAAGGAGAAGGCATTTGAGATAGATGCACCGACTACAGTTGGGGAAAGCACAAAGTGAGTATATGAAGAGATTTATAACTTTCTCAGGTATGTCAATAGTTGTTTCTATGCTCCTAACACCTGTTTGTTTTGCAACCACAAACCCATAAAAAAAAACAAGTTCAGCAACTGTGGAGGGAGCTCTGAACCTAAGTTGTGTGATACAGATGATGACACAACTTATGCATATAATACATTTTCATTCAGCTCCTTGTTTTCCTTTCAGCAAGAACAAGTACTTTGTCACATTCCCCTACCCATACATGAATGGCCGATTGCACCTGGGCCACACGTTCAGTCTGTCAAAGTGTGAGGTAAGTTCTTCTACTAAAGCAGTCAGAGATGAACCTTGAGTCATTTTTCAAGTCTTCGCTGATGATAGTTGTCTAAATGTTACTTCTTTTTTTTTTTCTATGTAGTTTGGTGTTGGATACCAGTCCCTGAAAGGAAAGAAATGCCTCTTCCCTTTTGGGCTTCACTGCACAGGAATGCCAATCAAAGTAGGTATTGTTTTTTTTTCCGTCAGTCACATTGTGTAAACAGAATTAATGACACCAAGAAGTTGAAAGTAAATTAAGATGTGATCATTTTTGTATGCATTGTTACAAAAAATCGTGTAGATTATTTTTTATGTGTTGGCATACTTCAAACACCTTGATCTTAACAAATATAACAATTGCAGAACTTTTTAATTAAACAGATATTGTATTCATCTATCAGTACTGCTTTTTGATTAATATTCTACTCTTATCAAAACAGAGCTTCATAAGCTCCCTCACACGCACTGCAACATTTTGCCTTTCTTCCTTTCTGTTCATTGGCATATTGTGTGCTTTAGGCCTGTGCAGACAAACTGAAGAGAGAGATGGAGCTGTACGGAAACCCTCCACAGTTTCCGGACGAGGATGAAGAAGAGAAAGAGAAGCCACAGACTTTTTCTGATGAAATCATCATCAAGGACAAAGCAAAGGGAAAGAAGGTCAGTATGGGGATGGATACTCCACTGAGTGATGGTCTTTCATCAACTTGAGTTTTAAACATACACGAGGGATGTTTGATTTACATCTACATTATCCACTCGCTTTTTAAAATCTCTCTCTTAGAGTAAAGCTGTCGCAAAATCGGGATCCTCCACTTTCCAGTGGGACATTATGAGATCTTTGGGCCTTAATGACAAGGAGATTTCCAAGTTCGCTCATGCTGAACACTGGCTCGAGTACTTCCCTCCTCTGGCCATCAAAGACCTCAAACAGATGGGCGTCAAGGTAACTAATGAAATTAATACAGCCCAAGCATAAACCTGTCATTGTTGAGCTTGTATTCATTTGTGTCTCTGACCTTTTAGTTCAGTGAAATATAATAAATACATCTATGCTTTAAATTTACATCACTTTAAAGAGTGCAGTAATATGAACTCATTAGCCTTTTTTATCATAATGTAATGGTCCCAACTACTTGAAAGTCTGTTTCAGGGTTATAAACTTGTCATAAACGGTCTTCATCTTGCTGTCATGTTTCTTTAGGTGGACTGGAGGCGTTCATTCATCACCACGGATGTTAACCCCTTTTATGACTCTTTCGTCAGGTGGCAGTTTGTCACACTGAAGGAGAGAAAAAAGATCAAGTTTGGCAAAAGGTGAGATGGTTAAAATGTATTTATGTAACTTGTGTGCTTTTTTTTTTTAGCATGTGTGAAAGAAAGAAGTGCCCCAAATTAAATAATATGTTAATGTATTGAACATAAGTAAAGCTGCAAAGGAATTGACTTGAATGAAAAATTTAAGAAGTCGGCAGAATTATGACATTTACATCTGCATTTTAGACTCAGGGAGATTGACATGATGATGAGGCAATACTTAGAATGTAATGTGTCTCACCCCAACTCCTTTGCAGGTACACCATCTACTCCCCCAAGGACGGACAGCCATGCATGGACCATGACAGGCAAACAGGAGAGGTACAATTACCCAATGTCATCATGTATCGATTGTGAAAAGCAAAATTAGGATTGTGTTCTCATAATTAAGCCACAATTTTCAGTCACGGATGACTTATTGTCCTGCATATAAACAAAACCTCACATTGACAACACTTGTGAGTGGGATAACTTGCGAAATTATTTCATGTAAAATCTTTCTATTTTGAAAAAAAACTCCAGTTATGTATTTTTGAGAAGTCTGTTTTATAGATGTACGAGCACAAAATCAGTCCATCTCAGGAAACCTACGAAATCTTTCAAGTCTAAGAGCTGATTTTAGTCTCTTTCTTCCAACTTACATTTGTACTTCATCTGCAGGGAGTCGGACCTCAGGAGTACACGCTTATCAAGATGAAAATGGTTGAACCGTACACCGCAAAATTCAAGTCCAAAGTCTTTTACAGCAGGTAACAGGTGGAAAACACTGACTCTGATACTCTGATCCACCTTTTTTTTTTAATTCACTAAATATTAGTTTTGCATGCATGGACTGTAAACAAGGTACCAGCAATGCTAATGCTATCATTTTCACAGTGGCATGAAGGGCAAAAACATCTTCCTGGTGGCTGCTACAATGAGACCAGAGACTATGTTCGGTCAGACCAACTGCTGGGTGAGGCCCGACATGAAGTATATCGCCTTCGAGACGACCAGTGGAGACATCTTCATCTGTACCAGTAGGTCTGCCAGGAACATGTCGTACCAGGGCTTCACCAAAGAGAACGGAGTGGTTCCAGTGGTCATGGAAATACTGGGACAGGTACAGAGTTTGTTTCTTTTGCTTTTAGCTGCAAAAACATCCCAATTAAATGTTTTGGTTTTATATAAATGTGGCTCAAGGTTGCTGTAACATCAGCCATTGAGAATTTGAATTAAGCAGATTAGCAGTGTGAACATGTGTTGACCCCTGCTCTACATTTTTGTCTCCTTCTAGGACATCCTCGGCTGTGCCCTTAGTGCTCCCTTGACCTCCTATAAGATCATTTATGCTCTGCCCATGCTCACCATCAAGGAGGACAAAGGTAAGTCAGAAAGTCGGAGAAAGCTGCAGAGAGAAAAGTTTATTTAGAGTGTTTTTTTTTTTTTTTTTTAAGGGTTTCTCTAAAGGCAGATATTTGTCACACTGTTTTTAAACGTGTTTTTCTTTACCAGCATTGCTCACGGCAGTCAGAATACCTTTGAGTGGGGGCACTAAACTCTCTTTTATTTTATTCTTGAGTTTGAGTGAAAAGTAGCTACTTGAAATGCATCCATTTTTAAAAAAGATATCTTTCTGTGTTTCAAATCAAGATAATTTATTCCTGCTCTTGTTGCTTTAGGTATTACCCCCAGCCAGAAATCTGCACTAAGCCTTATCCCTCATTCTTCCTCGTCTTAGATATGCATGGAGGGTTTATGGAGAAATAGTGGGGAGTCTCAAATTAGCCAAGGTCAAAATAGAATTTAGAAACATTCTGTTTTTTGATGTCAAAGGATGGAAGTAATGGCTGCTCTTTTGCCCTTTGGGAGATCATTTGTAAACATATAAAAGAGATGTTATAGCTCTCAGTGTGTTGCTGCTCTTAAAACTCTTCACGATCTGTTATTATAGACACTTTGGCTTGAGGTGTTCAGTTTTTGTCTCTGTTGTCATCTGCCTGGTTATGACTTTTTTGTAAGTAGGGCTGCCTCAATAAGAATTCAAAATCGATAACAGAAAATCTCCAGACGCCAGAGTGTCCTCCTGGTTTTAAATGTGACTTAAACCAGTGAGGAGCTTTGGTTGCACTTGACATTGAGCAGGTTTAATATGTTTATAATGCAGCTTGCCCTGGACTATAACTTAGAAAAATAGCACTAAATTTGTTTTCATAGATTTTAAGCGGTTTCTGTGTTTTCCTCAGGTACTGGGGTTGTCACCAGTGTACCTTCTGATTCTCCCGATGACATCGCTGCTCTCAGAGACATCAAAAAGAAACAGGTGAGGTCACAGACCTGTCAAACTAACATCCTTTTATGTCACCTTTCAAGCTTGTATGCATCAAATGAAGTCTGCTGCAGAGAAACAACACAGTAAACAGCACATCAGAAACTTTAAATGTATTGAAAAAAACCTTTGAATTGAAATTTCTAAAGCACAATATGCTGTGCTATTTGCTTATGTTCAGTTGCTCTACATTCCTTGTTCCCAAGTAAAATAAACATTAAAGAAATGTCTATTGTGTAAGCATGCATTTCATTTAGCAGTTTATGAATGTTTCTTTATTTTTGTAATCTGAAAGGCTCTGCGGGAGAAGTACGGCATTGAGGACAAGATGGTGTTGCCTTTTGAGCCGGTAAGCTGATCTGCCAACGGCAGATTTTATTCAAGGTTCATGGAACATATCAATCCTAGCAATTAGACCAACTCAGAAATGCTGAATGCAGCCTCAGTCAATGTGTTTGTATCTGTTTGTGCATGTCAGGTCCCTATCATCGAGATCCCAGGCTACGGGAATCTCTCTGCTCCTCTGGTGTGCGATGAGCTGAAGATCCAGAGCCAGAATGACAAGGAGAAGCTGGCTGAGGCCAAGGAGAAAGTCTACCTTAAAGGATTTTATGAAGGGGTGAGTCCCATTAATGGTTAATGAGGTAAATAAAAAGCAACATAGGTCAGCATAATGCAGCCCCTCTGAAACCCCCCCCCTGTGGATTGAATGTTAAGATTTGAAGCGTTTACAATTTATACTGCAGCTGCATACTCAAAGTGATTCAAAGCTTACGGCGGGACTAAAACATTTATAAACTGGCTATGGGCCACCCTGAATTTGTACCACACACACACACACACACACACACACACAGCAGTGGGGTGAAAACTTTTTAAATCTTATTTTATATAACTCTTTTGTTCCCATCAGGACATTATATCACAAATCACATCAACGTTTTCAATTCAGCTGTTGTGACTGACAGAATATTTCAAATTTGAATTACTTTAATGTTGACACAGCAGCATATCAAGCTGAGCATAATCCAAAAGTGTACACTGAGTATGTGTTCTCCATCTGAGCATTTCAAGTGTGAGTTCTATATTTATGTGTATCACTTCTTGTCTCAGATCATGTTGGTCAACGGCTTCAAGGGCCAGAAGGTCCAGGATGTCAAAAAACCCATCCAGAAGATGATGGTTGAGAGGGTAAGAAATACAACCTTGTACCTGCTGCATGGTGCATACACAAATAACATGCAGTAGAACTGTGAAAAACGTAGATTTTATTCACGATGTTTATCAAGACTGTGTGTTCCTCACTGTTTTTATATATAACTATATTTTATATATATTTTTTACATTATGCAGTCCTTAAAAATGACCTGTAATAATATTGCTCTCTACCAATCTCTCACAGGGTGAGGCCATGGTCTACATGGAGCCAGAAAAACAGGTCATGTCCCGCTCAGCTGATGAGTGTGTGGTGGCTCTCTGTGACCAGTGGTGGGTGAACTCAGATAGCAAAAACTTTATACTCAAATAAACCTTAAGTGTGTTATTCGGTAGAGAGAAGAAATGCTTTGCTCTTCTTCTTTTTTTTTTTGATAAGCCATGTGCTAATGTTTCATGTGTTTTCCAGGTATTTGGACTATGGGGATGCAGAGTGGAAGCAGAAGGCACATGAAGCCCTAAAGCCTTTGGAGACGTAAGACACAATTCCCTCCCCCCCTGTTTTTACATGTGCAGTGTAATGTTTAATGTTTGGGGTTCCTGTGAAGGTCTAGACAATCAAGCATTGATTGTAGAAAGTGAATGCATTGCCTGTCATTAGTATTTGCAATAATAGTCCAAATTCAAAAAGATACATTAATTGATCTTTTACTTTTCTGCTCTCTTTTGCCTCACAGATTTTGCGAGGAGACCAGGAGAAACTTTGAGGCTACTCTGGCGTGGCTGCAGGAACATGCCTGCTCTCGTACCTACGGACTAGGTGAGCGTTCCCCTCTCTGGTTTGTGTTTGTGAGTGATTGTGTGAGGACTGCCTGGTTGCGGCTACAAAAATAATTGTCTTGTGTGTTCAGGTGGAAACATTCTGACACTGTGGTTTCTAGTCTATAGATGGAGACAGAGAACAGTCGATAAAGCCTCTCGCAGCAGTCTGCCTTTCTTTTCAACTGTCCTGGAATAGATACAGACTGAGGGCCAGCTGGCATACAGTACAGTGCAGGTCTGTCTGTTAGAGACTCCGTCTGTGCAAATACAAATAGAAGTTTTCTGACTATGAAGAGCAAGGTTTTGACTGTTAGGTGCCGGTTCTACAGATTGCCTTAACTTTCCTTAACTGTAGGAGAAAAATACTATGCAATGTCTCCCAATAAACAATGGCTATAGATCTAAAGATCAAATGTTAAAATGCAAAAAACATTTTCTTTAAATGAAGATAATATTGTTATTTGTAAGTCAAAATCAAATGAAAGTAAAAATGTTGTTTCCAAGAGTAGATGCTTTTTTGTTTATTTGATATGACGTGTAAACATTTCTCCTTGAATGTTGCACACATCTTTTATTTTTGTGGCTCATGAAAGTGAATTACTTGTGGAGCTCACACAACATTTTTTTTAAATATCCAAAGCTGTTATTGGATCATAAAGGAGGTTCACAGGAGAAACATAATCATGAGATTAGTGCATTGGAGGCTGCATATTTTCATCAATAGTCCCCCCCCTCTTAGCTCTTTTAAATGATCAAATAATGTATGTGAGGAAATGTAGCAATTAAGGGAATGAAAAGTAAGTTAGTGTTGTGTGCCAAAGCAGAAGGTTAGCAAGATTACAGAATAAAGTGCATTACTTATTCTATTGTTGGAGTGATTTTATTTAGCACTAAGATGGAACCAGCTCTAAAAGACGGCAAAAGTAACAATAAGGATTTGTTAGCACAAATACACCCATTCTCTCTCTTTATAATTCAATGTCTCTTTCATCCTCTCTCTTGGATGTGCGTGTTTCTTTCTCGTTCTCACGATTTGTGGCAATGTGTGTGTGTGTGTGTCTGTCTGTGCGTGCCTCCTGGTTACCATAGGGACTCGGCTGCCTTGGGACGAGCAGTGGCTGATTGAGTCACTATCAGACTCCACCATCTACATGGCTTACTACACTGTAGCACACCTCCTCCAGGGAGGCGTGCTCAACGGGCAGGGAGCTTCACCACTGGGCATCAAGTATGGAAACAATACACACAAATGCACGCTACATAAAGACCCACTACACACACACACACACACACACACACACACACACACACACACACACACACACACACACACACACACACACACACACACACACACACACACACACACACACACACACACACACACACTACAATTAATAAGGATTAAGCCTTAACTGATTGTCTCTGCTTCATGTTTTGCTGCCTCTCCTTCTCTTGTCCTTCTCATGCAGCTGTCGAACAAACCACCTGTGTGGTTCACCAGAGGGAGAAAAAAACTTCTCATTTAATTAATACTTTTGACATTGCACATGACAGGTGTTTCTTTTAAGAGTCCACAAAAGTTGATTTCATTCTCAGTGTTCATCTATTGAACAACAGCAAATTTAATATACACAACGTCCTCTCAAGGACAAATGCTCCCAGTTAAAAACTGTTTTAAGAAAATCAATGTATAGCTCAATACTCATTAAGTATCCCCTAATCTCTTCCTCCGCATGAGAAAAGGAAAGAGAAGTGAAACTCTGTCACACTGAGGCATTTAATCACTTCTTTTCACCTTGTTTCCACCCAATACATCCCCGGTTTTACCCTTCACACTTCTCGTCTCTGTTTTTTTGCCCAACAGGCCGGAGCAGATGACCAGAGAGGTGTGGGACTTTATCTTCTTTAAGACTTCTCCTTTCCCAAAGACCGATATCCCTAAAGAGCATCTGCAGAGGCTGAGGAGAGAGTTTGAGTACTGGTACCCTGTCGATGTCCGTGTGTCGGGCAAAGACCTGGTGCCAAACCACCTGTCCTACTACCTTTACAACCATGTGGCTATGTGGCCCAAAGACAGGTGAGTGTGCAGTATGTGATTGATCACTGCAGATAGTGGGAACAACAGAATGAGGAGCAAGACTGATGGCTTTGTAGTGTGATTTATTCAGGGGATTTAAGAGCTAAAGATGGAGTCTGTTTAGACAAAACATTGTAGAACAGAGATCGATTAGTGTACTTGTAGTTTTAGGAAGAGTGTTAACGTGGAATTACTATATCAGCAAAAATGTCGGATAGAAACATTGATGCCACTTTCATGACTGTACAGTGAATGTAAACCTACTGCAAGCATTAAACATAGTTTATCATGCCATCCAGAAACATGCAGATCGGAAGAATGATTCAAATCCTGACTGTAAAAAACTATGTCCAGGGTTGAGTTAGGCTATCTTATTTACAGATCCTTATCATGAACTGTTCGCTCAATAACTACAACGAAGTCTGTGGCATGATCCATACTTTACCTGAATTCCTGTTCCACACCTAGCACAGCGATAACAATCACTTGGAGCACAATAGTTCCCCATCACCAGTGTAGGACATAGCACTTAACAAACTCCCCTTTCTGCCCGATTTGATTTTGAACTTCGACTGTAATGTTGTATATGTACTTTGAGGGAAATCTTACATGTTAATATGACAATACATTACCCTTGTTTTCTCTTCCCTCTAAATTGTGTTTGTATTGTGATTTAATTTTTGTTGAACTCTTGCACAGACTGTTTTGTAATTAAAACACAACCCTGGAATGCAGAACTTTGTGTCAAACCACTTTTCAATACATTTAATTGGTGTTCTTCCTTTTGGTTAGGTTCAGGTCACTGTATTGTACCCATAGTTACATTTGTCTGCAGGGAGAGTCACATGTACTGAATGAAGCACAGACAATACACAAAACATAAAACGTGCAAATGCATGGTACATTGGTACATGGGTAAAAGTGGGGAAGTTTGCCGATTCCAATCGTACAATTTGATAGACATGTTGATCCGTCAAAGTTATAGAGCTTAGAATGTTAAAATAGATAATTAATAAATAAATAAATGAACCATTAAGCAGCATGACATCAGCTTCCTAGCTCTCTGTACATACATACAAGACCTTTATGAACCAACAACCACATCAAGCAGTTATTATAAATTATACGGATGAGTCAGAAGTGGAAAATATGCCCAATAATGTAATCATAATAACAAGTAATACATCCCCTAAATCCATTTTCTGCTTCAACATCTCATTTAAAAAGCTTGAGCTGCAGTCTTGAACGACCTCAACTTGTTATACTGATGATACTCATGAACTTCATATTAACCCACACATCGTTTGGTCCACAGTGGGAAATGGCCACAGGCAGTGCGAGCCAATGGCCATCTGCTCCTGAACTCTGATAAGGTGTGTCAGATATCTGATTGTTGTATTTACCAGTGAAAATCACACTAATGAATATTTCTACAGATTTGCTAACGATATTACCATTGTTATATTTAGCGGCTGACCTTTTGTAATACCAATGTGTCAGTAATTACCTTGTGTTTGATGCTGATACTTTGAGTGCGTGCTGTTTATTTACACAGGCTTTGACCTGATGGTTGTGCTTTGTAAGGGGTTTGTGTAGGAGGTTTCGCTTGAAAGATTCTGCCCGCTAACATCTGTTGTCTCTCTTTTTTTATTTTTATTTTTTTACCAGATGTCTAAATCAACTGGAAACTTCCTCACTCTCACCGAGGCCATTCAGAAGTTTTCAGCAGATGGTACACTCTTCTGATTCTTCTTCTTCTTCTTCTTTTTCTTGATTCTTGATGTATCTCCCGCCTGTGTTCTGTTTTTTTACCTTTCACTCTTGTCCTCTCTCAACATCTCTGTCATGTTTTATTGAAATGTGGAGAAACCCATCAGGTGTCATCTAGACTAGATTGCAATGTGTTTCTATAGTCCATGGATCATTAACCTTGATTAGATTATCAGCATCTTTTTTTTCCCTCGCAGTGAAGATAATAAGAGAACGCCCCATCTTTCTATGATAGGTGAGGTGTTGATATTTGGATTGCTAAGCTAGTGAATGCTACAGATCTGTTATGTTGGTCTGTAAGTAATGAGTTTCTGTTTAATTATTTATGATTAATACTTTAATCAAACTGTTACCTGTAAGGCTGCATACACTCAGCATGATCTTTCTACAAGGAGCAATGCATTAATGTCCAGGAGCTTTTTGATCTTAGTTGAAAGTAAGTGTACCAATCAATCATTAAATATCCTGTATTTGTCGGATAGTGCTTCTGGTGTTCTATTGGATAGTGCAACCCATCGAGATGTGTTACCACGCAGCTCTGTGCAGTACAGGTAGCATTATTTGATAGGGGCCATTGGTCTATCGAGATAGGCTTCCTCCAAAATGTTAAATAAATGTTTTATTAGAGAGCATCAAAACATGCTTCACAGTTCCTCACAGTGCAAATGCAACGAGTAGTGGTGTTTAAAAGTGATCCTGCACTGGTGGCATAATTTGATAGGGGATAATTGTCCATGGAGATAAGCTTCCCTGAAACCTTTCTACTAGAAACTTGCTCCCCATATTGTGACGATGCATATGGAGTGAGCGGTTTAATTAAGTTATTTTGTTCTGCTAGCATTATTTCATAGGGGATACTCAAAGCCTCTGCTATCATTTCGTGCGATGGTAATATTTTAAGACAAGGCAGCACATCTCAACGGAATACCAGAGAGGCAGCAGCTCATGTTGGTCTCTCCACAGAAAGAAAAAAAAAATGCAGAGGAAAGAGAGAAGTATAGGCTCTCAAATAAAAAATTTACAGGAACATGTGGGCAAGAATCATCCGAGAAGACCAAGAAAGAGACTAGATGTAAAGTCAGTGCAGGGAACTTGTTTTTTTTAAAGTTATGTAAGACTTCGGATAGGAAATTCATAAGTTACTTAAGATGTGATTTATGATGTGTGGCCATTGTTAACAATATCACAATACATGGATTCTGTTGTATTTGACATTGTGTTGTAGTCAAGACCACATTAACCAAGGCCGAGACATTGACTAGAGTGCGCAGAGACCGAGGCAAGACCAAGACCATAAATATCACTGATAAATCCTCATCTTGTATCTTGCATCTGGTGACTCACGTAGACCGTAACACCGGGGAGGCCAATTTCTCTTTTTGTTTTCTTTCTTTTGTTTTCTCGCTGTGCTTCTTTGGCCAATTTACTTCCCTTCATGTTTCCCTCATTCGTGTCCTAAGTGCCACTGTGTGTGAAGTCGTGACGTGCTAACCTCGTGATTAAAATTGGCCGGAAATTCTGTTTAGAGCAAAACATTTTTAAATGAAAACATTGATATTTGACACCAGTAACACAGATTTATTGCTGATTTGATTTTTTGTGCGACCCTTATTTATGGAAAAAAAAAACGATAGTTTGGGGGGAACTCTTTGCATTTAATAATAATTAATGACTATTCATTTTAGGGGAATTTGAGTCTCGTGATGTTCATGTCCCAAAGGTAATATGAATTTGTGTCTATGTTGATTTGATGCGGTTGGGACATAGATGCACTCTGCCTTCCTGTTTACCCTCAGGATAAGTCAATACATCCTTTAGCTGTTTCTTTTTTTCTTGTTGTTATTGTTACCCTGTGTTTTTGTGTTCTGAACAACCTGAATAATAGATAAATGTGCCTGTTGTGCCTCTAGAAGATATCCTGTCATGAGAGTAAAGAACTGACAGCAAATAGATGTATTAAGTTGACTTCCTTTCCAAACGCTTGGAGTGATGCCTGCTGGGAATTTGAAGTTTTCTCAGACTGCTGCCTCCACACTTCACTTAGGTGTTGAAGTGTTTTGACGTTGAAAAATGAGCGCTCGGTTCAGTGTTGGGACATGTATACATGGTGTTTGAGCAAATTAAACAAGTTGTCTGTGATCTTTGAAGCATTGGCCACACAAGGCTTTTTCTCAAACTACAACACGTTGCATCTGCAGGGTTGATGCTTGAATTCTCCACATTCCCTCTTCCAGGTATGCGTCTTGCTCTGGCCGATGCAGGAGACACAGTGGAGGACGCCAACTTTGTTGAGACTATGGCTGACGCTGGAATCCTCCGCCTTTACACCTGGGTGGAGTGGGTGAAGGAGATGATTGCCAACCAGAACAACCTGAGGACGGGACCTGCAGACACTATTAATGATCGGGTCTTTGCCAGGTAAATGCAGGAATAAAAGAAGACAGGATGGAAATGTTGGCATTCTTTGATAATGATTCTGTGACTAAAATTGTTGATACGTTTTCAAACAACTTATTGATGTAATGTACCATTTCTATTCATCTTTACCCATTATTTAGCACTGGTCCAATATATGAGCTTACTTAAAGGTTATGTATGAAGTGGCCAGTTGGCACCGAAAGGCAAGAAACAAAATCAAGCAGCTAAAAGTGTGCCAGTCCTCCATAGTTTGGGCAGTTCTCTTATTTGATCTTGACCTTTTTGAACCTGTAATTAACTGTGCTTAAATGTTAATAATCCACTGACCTGGCAGACTCATTCTGTGTGTTTTGTTTACTGTACAGCGAAATGAATGCAGGCATCTTAAAGACGGAGCAGCACTATGACAGAATGATGTACAAAGAGGCTCTCAAGAGTGGCTTCTTTGAGTTCCAGGTAAATAAAATGAGCTTTTATGAAGAAATATTAAAAGGTCAATGCAGTGCGTCAGTAAAAGCAATGATGCCTATCATCGTCCCGCAGCATTAAATGTGACTATTTTATGGATACTGCATGGACAAATCAAACAGAAGAAGGAACATATATTGACTGAGGATTCAAATGCCATCTTGAGCATGGGAATTGTGTGTTTGGGAGAGTTCTAATCACATTGACAAATGAAATGAGCAACATAAATCTTAGAAATTGTGTGTATGTGTGTGTGCAGGCAGCCAAAGATAAGTATCGTGAGCTGGCTATCGAGGGCATGCACAGAGAGCTCGTCTTCCAGTTCATTGAGAAACAAACTCTGCTATTAGCGCCCATCTGCCCACACCTCTGTGAATACACCTGGAGTCTGCTCGGAAAGGTAAGAAACTTAGAATTGTCCCCATAGTGTGTGATTCATGCTGCTTGTGTCCTCTGACTGCAGGTTATATAACAACTTTTGTGTTAATCTTCGCTGCATTCTTTCAAGTAAAATTAAAAAAAGGTAATGTCTATAAAACAACCACTTCATGTCAGTTTGCTGTAGTGCTGTTCACACTGCTCATTTGCGTGAAAATGCCACAAAGGCCCGTGTCCACCCAGCATGTTTTCTGGGCAGAAAAGTGCTGGCTGTGACCTCGGAAATGTTTGCATGAGAATAAAAGCTGCACCTCCGTCCTGTCATGATGACAAGAGTCAAACGGCCACTGTATGACCGACACTGCTCTGTTGCTTTGTGCTGTATGTTTGTTATTTGAGATAGTTTTTACCCCAGCAGTGATGGAGCTAAGATGATATGGGTACAAGACATGATCCATATTCGGCAAAAATACGGGGATTATCATATATTTGGAAAAAGAGCGCCGGTGATGTAATCAGCACCTTTCTGAAAAAACAAAAGCGCTCTCTGCAAATTGAGAACAGTTGGGGAAAAAAAGATGCTGGCGCTGGACACAGGGCCTTAAGTTCACACGTATTCCCTTTTCTGCTCATGTTCTCCATGAGTTTGTATTCACACCAGGGGCCTCTTTTTCTCATCGGAATACGAGGAATAAACACAATGTTGTATGCTCCAAACGGCGCAGAGAGCAAGAAATATATTTAACACTTGAATTTATTAATATGAAGGAGTGCTCCTGCTACAGAGTGGGTTGTTTTGGTTGTTGCTTAGCAACAATAAAGGTCCCCACAACTCTGCTCATGTGTGCAGCACAGCTAGCTAAACAGCTAAGAGGCACTCAGTGGACACAGAGGGACACACATTAGTCTAGGATTCTTAACCACTTGTTATGGTGTGTGACTATCTTTATTATGAGAATGGTGTGACCTCTGGCTGTGTAGTTAATAGGATTCAAGACCTCCTGTGTACTTGGAAATGTTTTTTTTTTTTCAACAACACCTTTCGAAAACAACACATTAGCAGTCCTTCCCATTCACTCATCTGCTATTTTTTAAATCCCCTCTCTCTCCCTCTTTGATAGGCTGGTTCTCTGAGGAAGGCATCATGGCCTGTGGCGGGTCCAGTTGATGAGATTCTGATCCGTTCCTCCCAGTACCTGATGGAGACGGCGCACGACCTCCGTCTGAGGTTCAAAGCTTACATGCAGCCTCCCAAAAACAAAGTAAGAAATGTGCCTAGGCTGTTTCATAACATACTTCACTGCCACTAACCTTACCTGCTATATTTGCTTTTTTGTAAATTTGAAAATCAATATTGATTGAAATATTGAACGTTTTCTTTAAGTAGTTTGAATGAAGTCCTGCACTTGTCTCAAAGTGCATTAGGGGTATTAATTAAATCAGCGGCAGCTTTGTGTCACAGTCTTTCTCCCTAAGGTGTTGTTTAACAGTTTTGTGGGTGTTTGATGGGAAGCACAGTGAGGCAGAAAATAACAAAAACAACATAATAAGAAGCGTGAAATATCAGGCAGTTCGCTGAGAGCAGCCTTGGTGTTTAGTAGTAAAAATCTGAATCCACTTAGAAAAGTTTACAGGATTTCAAAACACTTATCAAACCATGATATGAATTTTCAGATGAAGTTGAGAACTAGAACGATTACCTGATCGCTAATCAGCTCATCAAATCAATTCATTTTCTGATTTGGCCTTGATAAAATAGTGGGGAAAAAAAACACCTTATCAGCTATAAAATAATAACCTTCTTTCTGGCTATGATGGTTTCTTTAAAGACAGGGTGCAACATATTTCTATTTAAAGTTTTATCTTTACATTCCTAGCTCAGTTTCACAGATCCTGTGTAAAGCACGGGCACAAAATATAGGTAGAGGTTGTCTTATGCTGTAAAGAAAAGCTTAATAAATAAAAGTTGACTTAACCTGGTTGTAATACGTAAAGCAGTAAGTCTGTGTTATGTGCAGAGCATGGAAGCTAGCCTGCTGTTACTTTCCTGTTAGTTTGGCACTTCGATAAGTGGCTGTTGGCAGCTTAGACAAAAGCAAAACAAGTATTGACACGTTCGGAGACAGCCAGTATCTCACGCTTCCCGACTGCTGTTATTGATTTGCTGCAAATGTTTTGTTGGGAGTGAAGCAAGCTGGAGGGACGATGGAAAAAGAGGAGAAAAGGAAAGAGAGACAAAAGGTTGTTTTGAATGCTAGATGAAAGAATAATTGAATCATTTGTATTAGTGTTGACACATTAAAGGATGTATGACTTGACTCTGTATAGGTTTTCTCTTTGCACAGTATATCTGCCAGGCAGCTTTATAATAATAATAATTCTTTTATATTATTTATACAGTCCCATCAAGACTCGTTTGTGGAAATGCACTTTAAGTCGTGCTCACAGTACAGGACTAGAGTAGACATGACAGCTGTCAAATAGAATAAGTTAACAGATCCCCATCTTCTTTTCAGAAGAATGACACGTGCGCGCACACACACACACACACACACACACACACACACACACACACACACACACACACACACACACACACACACACACACACACACACACACACACAAACATTGCTTCTTTAATAATCCAGGCACAGATTGCTTCACATATAGGTCACCAGCCTCCAATGTCCCCTCACTGTAGCCAATGAATTAAAGACCATCAAAGTATTTGGTACTTGACTGTATGGATAAATGAGATTAATCTGAATTGCTCCCTTTATTTTATGCCGTTCTTCCGCCAACAGAAAGGTGACTCAAAACCCCCAGCCAAGCCCTCCCACTGCACCATCTATGTTGCCAAGAGTTACCCTCCATGGCAGCACAGTACCTTATCCCTGCTCGGGAAGCACTACAAGGTGAGAAACCAACACATACATGTACTAACCTATGTTTCAAGTACCATCCTATAGGGATATAGGCTCCCTGTAACCCAAAACTGTTCTCCTTGAACTGTGCTGGGAGAATACGTCATACCTGTATCTCCCAGGATGCATTGGCAGATTCTTTGCTGCATTTCATTTGGTGTATAATGTGGCTCAGATATATGTGGCTAGTTATCTGAGTAGGGCAAAAACAGTGTAGTTTTTTTTCCTTTTCTAAAAAGTTCTCATATTTTGGGATGCCTCTTCTGCTGTTGAAAGTGGAGCTACTTGCAATACAAGCTTCACGATACTTGTCAAATGTCTGCACTGATGCTGAAGGAACGTTGTATTTTGCAGCTGCATTCAACTGCATCCCAGACGATCAGAAAACACCTGCAGCCTTTTTATCTCACTGTATCCCTGATGCAGATACATAAAGATATGGTTGACCATTGACAAACAATCTCTTTGTTAGATCACACAAGTTATTTTTTGGTTTTCTGCATGTGTCTCCCTGTCTCTACACTTTTTTTTTGTCTTTGTGTCTGTCCAGAGCAACAACGGGGCCCTTCCAGACAACAAAGTGATAGCAAACGAGTTGGGAGCCCTTCCAGAACTCAAGAAGTACATGAAGAGAGTCATGCCTTTTGTGGCTATGATAAAGGTAAAACTGACCGAAGTAGCAGGGACTTTCTAGTTTCATTTTTGCAGAGCACATGCTGTCCCCTCTCCATCCGTCTATACCTCTGCTATTGGCAATAGAGCGATGTATTAATGTATGCAGATTTTTTGTATTATAAATGTTTCATTTCTGACTTAGTACACCTCATAGAGTTTTTTTCATAGTTTGTTTTTGTGCACAGCTCTGCTTCTGTTTGGTATAAAGTGTGTTTTAGTAATTCTGCAGAAAGATTGCCGTCATCATCATCAGAAGGTGCCGCTGTCTTCCTCTTTTGTGTTGAACAATGACAAAACTGTAGCCCATACCAAGAAGAGTTTTGCATTGAAGTTCAAAAGAAATTTCATGAATACGTGGCGTGCAGATGTGTTTGTATCGATTTGAAGGAGAACAAAACAAACTTCTGACAGGCTGTCTCGGCTTGTGCCTTTGTGTACTTGCTATGTTTTTTTCCCCCATCAATATGCAGGCTGCATGTCTATACATTTTTCTCCACAACACTTACTACTACCTTTTATATTTCTTCAGCTTTGCGTTCAGATTATATGAAATTCCAGAAAAACTGCATAACTTTTGGAAGAGATTATACACAGCTAAGCACCAGGATGATTTAAATAATTGTTTCTGCTACAGCACGCTGGGTTTGAGGTCAAGTTGAAGATAAACGATCAGAAACCGGGTGCTTATTAAATCTTTGTTGGGCTCCAAGAACTAATCAAGATGTTTCTGTCTCTGCAGTATCGAAAAGAGACTAATAAATAGTCATGATAAGCTTTGTGTCCGTCCAAGGTGTTTTTTTCTCTCTTTATCTCTCTCAAGCTGTTCTTTCAGCTTCGAGTTGTTTTCTCTTCTAGCTCTCCTTGTTTGATGGTTTGTTTTAGCACGTTTGTCCACAAAGGTTTCTGGTCCTCAATAATCCCATGGCGGCAGCATCGGCATAACAATGAGTTTTTTGCGTGACGCTGAATTAAAAATATGAACCATGACTTCTTCAGAAGGTGGATGAAACATTGTGTTTGCTCGTTTTGACTTGTAATTGTAGCAAATTAAAAACTTTAGTATGCTGCTTTCTTGTTTATTCCTGATGTTGTAAGATGATTTAATCATTCGTGTACAGCTTTAACTTTGTGTGCTATCTTCTGTTTTGCTTTGCGTTCTGTAGGAGAACCTGGAGAAGAATGGCCCCAGGGTCTTGGATCTGGAGCTGGAGTTTGATGAGCGGGCAGTTCTGATGGAGAACCTGGTCTACTTGACCAACTCTCTAGAGGTTTGTTTGATTATCCAACAATATTTAAATTAGACATTCCATTTAAAGATGACCTCACTCAAAAGCTTCTGTTCAAGTCTGAGGGGTATTCAGTTTTGTTAGCTAGAGATCCATCCATCCATCCATCCATCCATTATCTATACCGCTTTTTCCTGTTTGGGGTCACAGGGAGGCTGGAGCCGATCCCAGCTGTCATTGGCCGAGAGGTGTGATACGATGGAAGCGATTAGTGATCAGAATTCAAATGATAAAGCTTATTTGAAAATTAAAATGCATTAACAGAAATGCTTTTTAATTTTCAGAATATGGGAGTATTATTTGACTCAAAAATAAAATGATGACTAATTTATCTAATTTGAATTTTAGTTTTCAACTTCAAAAATGCGTTTCCTGCACCGTCCACACTTTCCGCGCAGGAAAGTGACGTCAGACTTCGGCTCCCAGGCAGAACCATAGGCACAACGCGCAGTACGATGGGTGGCTGGGTGCATCTTTAACGCTAGGGCAGACTTTAGTTCACACTGTGATACAGGTGGCGATCGGAGTGGTTTTTTAAGCGCACACTGAACTTTCAGCAAGCATGACGCAGCAGCTTTATAACCCAAGCTGCCAAGTCTCACGCACGACACCATGCCCACTATCTCTGACCGTGAGAGTCACTCAATTAAGCATCTTCGCGCCGTGAAATTCACACAGACGTGTCCTAAAACCGGTTTATTGATAGATTATAGATCACTCTCTTCTCTTCTTAACTTAGTTACATTAAAAAAATGAATTTTCTGTTTCAAATAATCTCTCCAGCTCTGTACACAAAGTTTCAATGTCTCTCCTCTGTGCGTAATGGCACACACTCTCCCTCTCGACTGACTGTGAGCTCTCTCCCTTTCAGAGATTGTTTTGTAGTTATTAAAAGAATAATCAACTAAAACTCCAAAATTGAATCAAAATCAGGGCAGCAACTAGTTTGGAGCTTGTACCAGCGTTAAAGATGCACCCCGCCACCCATCGTAGTGTGCGTTCTGCCCGCTCGCCTCATAGACTGTAAATATTACGTTCGCCTGCCTGGGAGCTGGAGTCTGACGTCACTTTCCTGCGCCGTCCACTTTGCCAATTCATTTTCGAGTTGGTTTGAATTATGATAACCTTTTAGCACGGCAAGTTTGAAAACGAAAAGCCAAAGACCTTTTCGTTTTCATTTGAATTATGTCATACAAGAGAGTAAAAGTATAATGCAAACTGGATGACTGAATATTCATTTTAAATATAGGTCAAATAAAGCACCTATATTCTGAAAATTAAAACGCATTTCTGTTACTGTATTTTCATTTTAAAATTAGCTTTATCATTTGAATTCTGATCACTAATCGCTTCTATATGATACACCCTGGACTGGTCACCAGTCAATCCCAGGGTTGACATATAGAGACAGACAAGTCGCCACACGCACATTCACACTTAACGTGCAATTTAGAGTCACTAATTAACCTAACCAGCATGTCTTTGGACTGTGTGAGGAAACCGGAGGCCCTGTCCAAGAATGATCTTTAATATCAGAAAGATACTGAGCAAGTTCACTTGAGTTATATGTGTTAGCCAAGCTGTAACAACATTTTGCTTCACTACTTCTGCAGAAGTCAAAGTCAGGCAATCCTCGGCTCGCTTGTCATCCTGAAAAGCCCTTAATACTTTTGTCTGCACAGAGGCTTCCCCTCGTCAAATACCCTAGATAACCTAGATACTGAAGTGAAACCAGCGTAGATTCACCAACAGAAATGTAGAACAAGAAACTTATACCATGATCCGATTCCCACATTTCCAATACTTTAAACCCAGAGATATGCTGCTACACGGAAGTTGTAATCATACAAAATAATGTGTCACAATCTATGAATGAAAGTCTCTCTTTTAAGACAGAAACACTGCTACAAGGATGATCACAGGAGAAGATCATGACGTCTCTGTGGACATGTTGGCCCTCCTTTCTGTGTCTTACATGTTACTTTACCTGATTCTTTGTGTGATCTCAAACTGAAAAACTAATCCTTGCAGGGATAAGACATTTGGCATGTCTTATCCCTGCAGGAACCTGGATAAAACCACCAGTTTTTGTAAGAGTGCATGCCAAACACACTTGAATACCCACTATCTTGACTCATCAGCGGATAATCGTTCTCTTTCCCTTCATTCCTCCTTTGTAGCTGGAACAGATAGACGTCCTGTTTGCATCTGAGGCTGACGACAAAGTGAAGGAGGACTGTTGCCCAGGGAAACCATTCAGTGTGTTCAGAACAGAGGTAAAAATAAAAAATTGTGTTTGTAAAGGAATGACATCAGACACTTTGTGAGTCAACTATTTATCATCTTTTACGCCAACTTTTTTTCCTGTGTTTGCATATTTTTAGTATGTTTTAGTGTCTTGTGCTCCTTCTCTGGGAGTGTTTGTGTGTTCTTAATGAATAAAAGTCGCCTGTGCGCTCAAACAGAAAATTAAATTGTGTATTTGTGCATTTGTGTCTTCTCAGCCTGGAGTGAGTGTTTCCCTGGTCAACCCACAGCCAGCCAATGGCCTGTTTTCCACAAATGTTGACATCCGCCAGGGAGACAGCAGAGACAGCGTCGTCCGGAGGCTCGCCAAGGTCAACAGACTCATCAAAGGTTAGTGAATGAATGAACATACAGCTAAAAATGACCCACCCTCTTAAGGAACCCACAATGTCCCAAAGAGGATAAAACATATTAACTCAGATTACTGTCTGTTAGAACCTGTATTCATCCTCTTTTTATTGCCCTATCATTGTGTCACCTTCATGTGGCTCCCCTCCAACAGATCTGTCCAGAGTGAAGCTGATGAGGTACGAGGACCCAGTGCTGGGGCCTCGCCGGGTGCCCGTCCTGGGACATGAAGAACGGGGCAAACTGCAGATTTCCACCAAATCTGTGTTCAATGTCAATCTAGAGGAGAAGAAGGTCACTCTGGCTGACAACGGCCTCAGTGTGGACATCGGGGACACCCTGGTTTATCTCGTCCAATAGAGAAACATTCACTCTCACAAGAACTAACACACAAAGGCACATGGGGACACATTCAGTAGTGAATCCTCTGTGAAAGGTTTTAACTCATCATGAAATGTTACAACAAAGTGGATTGTTTTTGACAAAAAAAAGCCATAAAACAATGACTCAAACGTATTATGTTTTTTGTTGTAATTTGTGTTTCTGAATGACAACATTTGCTCTCTGACTTTGCATAGTGTTATATTTCAGAAACACACGTTGTTGTTTTTGTTTTGTTGACTTTCACTGCTGAATGTGATCTAGGGGAATATTTGAGCTAATGGGACCTAAAAAGTTTGCATTTATCTTCCATTTAAACATTAAATTGCAGTACATTCAGCTATGGTCTTAAAGAAATTGAGATGATTCAAGGTTTTATTATGGTATTATTCTAAGGCAACTGGGTCTAATACATTTCTTTAATAGTTTGGGGGAAAATTACAACTTTAAAAATTATCCAAAATATCTGTAGGATTTGGGTTTGCGACATTACAACCGATTTAATGTTCTATTCTTGTCTTTGTCATCTATCGTTTAATTTTTGTCATTTGTCTCCATGTGTCGCTTGTCTTCTGTCATATAATTCACAATAAATAAGCAACTATCTGTCAAAGAGGCTTTGGAATAAAGATTTGTTTTTTTCTTCAAACGACAAACATTTTCTGTCCTTCTTTGCTGGCCTCCCTTTTTTTTTATGCATTTCTCTTGCATTTCTGTTGTTTTCATTTAGATGATATTGCGTCTGCTGTGTTGTTACAACATTGAAGGTGAAGCATATGGTTCCCTTATGTTTTCTTAGCCTGTCAGACTGCTTTCCAATTTTCTGTCTATGTATGATTCTTGTCTGACTTGTGTTTTTGCCAGAGAAATAATAAAAACAGATGAAATACTCTGCCTCCCTGGTTCCAGTCTCTCTGCTCTATCTTGTTTATTTCTTCTGGGGACATAAATAAAAGAATACTGGTTCCCAGAAGGATAAGACCCATCTCAGGAGTGTGTCATGGTTTTGACAAAGTTGTTCTAGCTTCACCCCGTTAGGGCAGATAGTGACAATAATCTTTCCCAGTGGACAGTCTTCTGCTGAAACAATGCACAAAGAGTAGCTCTATTGGGCTTTATGTTCTACCAATAAAGCAAACAGACACCTAGGCAATATTCAAGGGGCTTTTGGGCAGATATAAGACAGCCAATATAGCTTAGTCCTGCTAAAAAGATAGAAGCCACATCATAAGTTTCCTTATTATCTAGGTCAAGGACCCATCATATTATAGTGTATCATTTAGAGGAATAGCCAAGTCACTGCTGAGAATGAGAAAACTGGTCACGTTGTAGCTCAACTTTAAGCAGGAAGAACTTTGCTTATCATAGCCTATAGCCGGGAAACTAGCCGGGAGTCCCGGGACAGGTCCTAATGTATTTCGAAAAAATAAAAGTGATGGGGCAAAAATCGAATGCGCAGTTTCGTTTCCTTCGGCGTACATGGTTGACTTCCTGGAGCTTGCAAGTGTTGCTAGGCAACTGTTCCCGGTGAATTAATACTAAACTTCAGGAGGCTTACTGATGCTGTTTACATATCAAGTTAGTATGCATCGAGACTTAGGCTACCTGTAGGCAACAGGGCTAAGAGCTTAATCTAAAAATTGTAAAACTGGACAAAGACAAAGGTTTTTTGGAGGTAAGCTACCTACGTGTCATATTTGTTTGATGTTAATCAATCATAACTCATCCAACATAATTCATCCAACATAATTTAACTTTTGTAAGCTTCACTAAAAATATCCTCCACTCTTAACAGTGTCCCTCCTACTTAAATAAGCATGCTGTGGGGAGAATTACTTTCTATCATAGGTCAAGCATTGATTTAAAGCCTTTTATTGTCATTGTATAACAGGCTATAACCAGATTAAGAGCGCCACTCCTGATTGGTGCATATAGTTGCTCTTTCATACAGTGTTAAAAACATTTGTTCAGGCATGCACATTTCATACCAAGAACACATTCATAGGGTGAATTCAGGGTGATTGGGACCCAATCCCCTAAATTTGACCAGAAGACATTCCTTCCTGAAATATGATAAAACCTTCCGATCTCCTGAGTGGATTAGTAACAACTTCAGTGTTAAATACATGTGTCACGTGTTGGACATTTTTTTTAAATTTATGCCAAGAAATCTGATTTTAAAAAAAAACAGAAATTCAAAAATTGTCCCAGTATCCCTGAATACACCCTATTAGTCAAACAAACGATTATAAACAATTCTCAGTGAGCTACATCTCCAGCTTTTTGTTGTTGTTGTAAAGACTCCTTATACTTCTTCAGAATTGTAATTTATGATCATTGCTGTGATACGTTGTGGTATTGCCACTATAATATAATATCTTTGTCATTCTGACAAAAGATACCAAATTTGAAGACTTTTCATGTAGGCTCTTAGTATTTCTACTTGACATAATGTGCATAGGCCTATGTGTGAATTGTCGTTGCCTTGTAACCATGTATGATAGTTTCAGTACGTGCACTTCCACCACTTAAAGGTTCCCTCTTCTCTCTCACTATTACCTCACACACAGACACACACACACACACACACACACACACACACACACAGAACTGTATATAGTTCATCAGTCTAAAGGTCAAGTTTAACCACAGTCAGGAAATGCATGAATGCAGACAAGCCCCCGCTTAGCAAGGACCACAGGGGTATTTTAGAAATAAAAGCATCTTTCACTTCCCAGCTCTTTACTAAGTGTCTAGTTCTGCCTGTATGTCAAGTGTGGGAGTTTATCTTTTCAAAACAGTTTTAAAAAATAGAAACAATGTCATCCCTCAAACTAGAAGCTTATGTTCGTGTCAATAATTTTCAAAGAAAATGATCACATATCTAAACTCGTTATTGTGCACATGTTTTTTGTGATGCTATGTATCTTACTTCCTCTCTACAATTAATAATGTCAACAAAAGTTAACTTCCATACAAGATTGAAGTCATTTCTAACCTGCCTGTGACTTTGTGTTCAGTGTATGAATGCATTAGCATCTGATTATTTTTTGCCAGACATTCATGCTCCTGCACCCTGATGTGTATCTGCCCTCTCTCTTCATTTGCTGTATAAGTGGGGGGTACAGTAAAGTCTCCGGCAGTAGACAACTACAAGACTTATCTCTGTCACACAGCTTCTGGCTGAGCCATGCGACTGCTGCTTTATCTGCTCAGACACACGCACTCACACTGGGAAGTGTCACTCCCCCCCCCCCCCTCCCCCTCTACCTCCCTGTTCCTGCTGACTCCCTGCTCACCCCTCTCCTCTTTTGCCTCCTCACCTCCCCCTCTCTGGATGCCAATATAACTTCTAGACATGGAGCAGACAGCAGTCACACAACAGTAAGTGCCTTTCCTTTTTTTGTTTGTTTTCTGTCAACACTGAGCACAATACAATTACAGCAAACAGCTCACTTATCTTTCTGTTTTCTTTGAGCTGCTGTGCGTCCTCTTAATCTATTCCTTCTTTAATGTCTCTGTGATAGATGATAATTAAACAGGAGCATTATTTAAATCTATTGCTGCTGCAGCTCCTTCCTATTAAAATTTAATCTCTATGTTTTGGCTTCTCTCTAATATGCTGTGCTTAAGTGTTGTTGAGGTCCTAAAACAGCTGAATGCAAGAATAAAAGCTGCCACACAAACAATTTTGGCATGATATTAGTAGGATACTGGGGTTATTTTGATGCTGTGCTGTTTTCATTTTCTAATGAATGGGAGCTGAGTACAAAACATGCTGCTACAGCATAATGAATTCATGCTGTAAAGAATAAATGACATTAATTAAATTTCTGCTTAACGGAAAGCAAAAAATGAACCAATTTGCTTATTTCAGACTAATTCTGTGTCCTTATAGTCTTCAGTCTAGAATTGGTGGAAAAATAATGGCTTGTCAAGGCATGGTGAATTTATAAGCCATCTTTCTAAAGACAACTACATCTTAAAATCTAATTTCAGACCAGAGCTGTCAAGCACAAAAGCCTCAGCATCTGTGCTTCAAGAGGAGGAAGTGGTGTGCTACGCTACTGGAAGTGAATACAACTTGAGGTCGAACGATGTTCCTGCAGAGACAAAAGCAGTGCTCGCACAGCCGGGCCTGGGAGTCACCACTACGACCATCACCACCATCACGCAGACGGGAGGCGATTGGAGCACCGGCCTGTTGGACATCTGTGGAGACAAAACAACATGTAACTTGAAAACAACAACCAAAACATCAACTGCATTCAAATCATTCTAAAAATGTCGAGGACTTTTTTTTGCATCTCTCATTTGCAACTGAGATAAGCTTCCTCTCACATACCCTGTGCTACCTTGTGCATGTTATTGCAGGTATTCTTGGGGCTCTAGTGCCATGTTGTTTAGACCTGAGTTTGGCTCACCAATATGGTGAGTGTCTCTGCATGCCTCTGCTGCCAGGATCCACTTTTGCCTTCCGGGTTGGGATCAGGGAGAGATACAAGATACGGGTGAGCGCGCATATTCACACTCGAATTTGCATATCCCTCAAGAAGAAATGAAGAATTGTGCAGCCTCCACTTAGAGGTTCAGTTTACAAAATGGTTTGCCATGTATCAATAATTATCATTTGAATGTTGAAAATAAAGGTTGCAGTTTGGTGTTTCCAAAGCAAATTGTTAGACTCAAAAGTACATGGGAAATGAATGTCTGTCAGCATTGTATGATCTAATTAATACATTCTCTCAAAGGTTCACAAAAAGTTGTAGAAATCTATTTAATCTTAATGTCTTGTGTGTTTTCCTTGATATTAACCTCTTGATTTTCCACTTGGCCATGCTTTTATTGTTGCTGTGTCTGCATGTGTGCATCTTCTCATTTATGGTTTTGCATGCCTGTATGTGCCTGTCTGCATGTTGCGTTCACAGGGTAGCGTGTGTGAGGACTGGACCACAGTGTATTGCTGTTACCCTCTGGCTGTGTGTCAGATGATTAGAGAGATGAAGTGGAGGATGAAGACACAGACATATCATGTGTCCACTGCCCTTGAATGCTCCTGAAGAGATCCCTGACAGTAAATGAGTCCTGTCCTTAAACCATTTTACAACGGAGACTTCTGAAGGCCAGCTGAGATTACTGGTATGACCTGCTCCAAGAATCAATACTATCAGGCTTCAACTCACTTTGAAATTCCCCTGAGGATGCAATTGGCAACTTAATCAAGCCTTCTGTACAACATGCATAACACTGCGGAAATCATTTGATTAATAGCATTTTTTTGTCATAGTGTCTAGAGATTAAAACAATTCATGGACCTCTGTATTATGAATAAAAATCATAAATAAACTCTTATTTTCATGGAGAGACAGGAGCTCATCTGCTATATTTTAAGTTAATCAGGTTGCAAGATGCATGCTCTTCTCGTTTCAGTAGATTTTTCTGGCGACAAGCAGCATCAACCATCTGGTACAACTCTCAGCCAGACAATAAAAACAAAGGAAAAAAAACAGCAATTTCCTTTTATATCTTAAAATATTGTCATGCATACAGCCAATTCCCTCTCATCCCCTGAAAATAGAGACACTCTGAACTACTGAAGCTGTTATTTTAGTAGCCTTTGTTTTGATCTTAATCAGAAAACAACCAAATGCCATTCAACCCAGTTTATAATGTTTGAATCCGAGGTAAACTTCGGTGTGTTCAACGTCTTAAAACAAAGTCTTTTGTGCTTTGGATATCAGGGAAGCCCACTGACAGCAATCTCATGGGAGCTATTTATCATCAACGGGTACAAATGAAGTTAGAAAAAAGTGATTTGGTTAAACCAAACCTTTAATTTTGTCTTGCATGCCAAAAGTCACCAGACACATAATCGTCTTCAGTCCCTTTCTTCTTAACTCAACAGCAGGCAAATAAATCTAATTTCTATATTTACATTTAAACTACGCTTTGGCAGAACTAAAGAGGAACAGAAATACAAATTTACTATAGGAAGTAATTTAGCTTTATAAGAAGGCATTGATGCCTCTGAGAGATGTTTTATTTATCTCAGAGTGTGGGATAACAGGTCTCTGAGTTCTTTCTTTATGCGGAACTATACTTGTCTGATTTCCTGGAAACAAAAACACAGTGTAGCTCTGAAAACAGTCTCGAGTTCAAGTACAGTTCTGAGGATAATAAAGCCCATTTCCATTTTTTCTGATACCCCTTTTCTCCTTCAGTTACTTCTCTCACCTCAGGCATTAAATCATATTATTATACCAGTACTGATTGCTGTGCTTCCCTGAACCTGAAATGCCAAAGCAGCACAGGAGCGGATGTGGAAAATGTTATTCATACACAAAGCAGATGGGTCCTCAAAGGGCAAATATGTAATTTGTTAACTCTTACGAATGTGGGCCCCCGCCTGGCAGCTGCTTCAAATGGAATGGGAAAAAGGAGGAAATGGAATTTTTGTTAAGAAGGAGAGAGATGTGAATAACAAAATAGAATAATATTTCACAAACAGTCCGCTGCTTATTTTAAGGTGCAAGCCTGCTGAATAATAATAAAAATGTTTGAATCATTTCAATTCTTTATAGTGTATTTTTTTAACTGTACATCCTGCTCTCTGTTTTTTTGGTGGTTTTGAGTATTTGGGAAGTTTGAATCCTTAACCAACGGTACTGATTTTAAGACTTAACAGCAATACGTCTCTTATGCTAAGGTGATCCTGATTTGTTAGTGAAGAAAAAGTATTTCAGACATGTATAACATAGTGAAGTGCATATTGAAAGTGCTCTGCTTTGCATTTCATAAGCTAGTTTCAATCCCACTGTGGACACTTTGAATTCAGGCTCCAAGAACAGCTTGTATCTTCCTGCTATGTTCCCATGTACATCAAAGAAACATCTGCAAAACAGAAAACATTCTGTAATTCTCAAATTCCCTGCTGAAACCCTTGTTAAACTTGTATGATAAATATAGATTTCTGGCTCAGACTCTCACTGTGCTTAGAAGGCCTATATGTAAAATCACCCACTATAATGTCTATTGTTATTTCAAAAGGCAACTTGCCTTTTGGCATCATTGCATAAAAAAATGTGTTGTCTGAAAGGAGTGCACACAATCTGCCATGCAAAACTTGTGAACTATTTCAAAGTCAGAATGTTTTCAAGTTAAACTCACCTCATCAGTAGCAATGACATCTTCAGCTCCACAGTCAGGGCCCACAGGTGGATGCTGCGCTGGTGATGGGGCTGTGCAAGAGTGCAGTACTGGTGAAAGGTCAGAGCTAGCAACGGAAGAGCAGAGGGCGAGACTGGAAATCTTGCAGCTTTAATAGACCGCTAATTGAAGGAGGCGTTGTCAAGTGATTGTGGATAATGACGCATGTCAATTGTGAAATCAGTGCAGCTCACGAGCTCAAGAGCTGGGGCTTTACCGCTTTCTTAAAGGTCGAATGGAGTTTGATTATTCATTCCACAACCAAGGGACTACAGGAGGAGAGTCTAGCTAGCAACTTGGGGCCATGCTGTGAAGGACCATGTCTACATTAGAAAGACGCTGAAGCAGCAGGGTTATTTATATTTTCTATGACTATTCCATGTGATCTTTAATGGTTATATATAGGCCTTAAATCAATGTCCACTCAATAATTCCCCCCTATAATTTATCAGCGATGCGTTGCATTCACCTTTTTTTTAAAGGAAGAAAGGAAGGGGAAGGATTTTTTTTAAAGATCACCAGTTTCAGCTGTCCTGCATACATACTTTTAGTATTGAACTGTTTGAAATTTCTGTAAAAAGACACCCCTTAACCATTACTTTCCATTCATTTTGCCCAAGGCCAACGAATGGAAACAAATAGCCACATTGTTAAAAAGGTCATATGTTACTGCATTAGGCTTCGGTGTTTCCTGAGCTACCCTGGATGGATAAATAATGTCGTTTGCCTACTGGGGTTTGTTAGTGAGAAGAATCAGCCTCGAGCAGAGCTGCCTGGAGGCACTGTGGTAACATCTTTCCCTCCCTGTGCAATGACTAAATGTTATTGCTTCAGCATCAATAGCTCTACATTGGGTTGGTTAATGGGAAATCTATTTTCTATGCAATTCAAAAACACACTTAAAGTGTCCTACTTTCTCCTGAGAACTATATATGTCAATTTCGAAGACTATTTTATTCACTCATACCAACATATGGACCTGCAGTTATTAGGTGCTCCTCATAAGTTGTATTTCTAATTGCAAGGGGTATTCAACAGCTCTCCAAAGCAGCCATAAAAGTCCCTTTCTTACTGACAAAGCACCAATCATCTTGTTGGGGTTAGTATTGACAAATTATTTTCTTAAACTGACCCTTAGTTATCCCACGTTTAAGGCGCTTAGGGAGGCTGAGCATAAAGGGCCCTCACATGAAAAGGGCCCAAAAAGACCAGAGGATCAATTGTAAAGGATTCTCGGGGGAACCATAAAGAATGCCTTTGTACAGGACCCTAAATCTGTTTTGCTACGGCCCTGGATTTACTACCTTTCATGCATAGAGAAATTAATGCAACCTTAGCATGTGCTTACAGTTAAGCCCCAAACACATTTATTAAATACCCACACTCTCACAGGCTGTCCTTACGTCATCTCTACAGAATACACCTCCATGCCTGAACCATTTGGGGGCAGTGTTGACCCAGACCTGGATCTCCTCTGGCTGTTTCCTTGTCCCAGTGCTGTTCAGTGGAGTGAAACCAGTCTTAAGTGTTGATCTGGGGTCAGGACTGGGATTTCCAGAGCAGTAGTAGAGGTCAAGATCTGGAACAGCGAAGCCCAAGTCAGCAGTCGGACAAGGACCATAAACTGTCTCTGCTGATATTGCCTTTCCTGCTGTTTCAGCACAAAGGCGACAATCCCCACAGATACATCAGGTGTAGAGCAAAGGCTGTTATCGACTACGGCCCCTCAGGGAGGTGTGTTTGTGGATGTGGGTGTGGAAATGTGTGCGCTGTATGCAGACGTATCTTTCCCCTCAGTCGTGCTCGTTGTAAGCTGTACAGAAGAAAAATACCAAAGAGAAGATGAAATACACCACAGCAGTGAGAAAAAAAGATCATACCACCAAAGATGCACTCTCGACTTTAAAAGATGAGCTATAGGTGGAGTTTTGTCCCCAAACTCAGCACTGATATTTTTAAATGATGTCTCTTTCTCTCACTTCTTTCATATTTTCTTGGAGCAGATGGGACATGTCTTCCTGGTGCTCATTATCTATTGTTTTGCCCCTCCATCCCCTCTGTTATCTCATCTTTTCTCCTCCCTTCACCCTTTTTTTTCTCAGCGCCCCCTTTTATTTATTCCACTTCTGCTTTTCCTCCTGATTCATGCTGTAATGTGTGTTTGAGAGAAAAAAGGGGAGAGGAGAGAAGGAGAAAAGAGAGAGAGGTGTGGAGAGACTTGCTAAGCTGGAGCAGCCGTCCCCCTGGTGATACTTCTATCCAGGACAACAAGCGCCACCTGGGGTTTACATAACACACACCCAGACACACACTTCCTCGCACTAGCTCTTCATATCAATTTCTTACTGATACTCAATTTTTTTTTATCCGTGCCCTTCCCATGTCTCCCCTCTGTTTTTTTTTTTCATTCTGTCTTTCTCTCTCAGACATCAGTAAAATGAGGGGTAGGGGGGAATTCAGGTGCTGGTTAGCCTGCAGCTAGGAGCCTCTGCAGTTTGTACAGTAGTCTGTGATCTGCTGCTGAGTGGAGTTGTCTTATTTTGGGCTGTGTTTGTGTTTGTTTGTGTGTGGGATGATGGAGGCTTGAAATCTGCTGTCCTTAGACTATGCAGTTGATTTTATTGATTTTTCTTGTCCAAAGACAGACAAAACTAATGTTTCATCGTAGGTATAATTGGACTTCAAAAAAGGCAATTCTATTGAGATGGCCTGGATTTTGCAGTTTTCTTTCTCAGCAGGACTCTATTCTTCTTTATAGCTTTATGTTTATTGGACGACATGAGAATGAGCGGATCATCTGTTCCACAATATAAGCTGTGTGTCCTTTGAGGTCATTAAACAGTGTTGGTTGCCAGAACTAGAAAACATGGCAGATGCCTTTTTATTCTCCAGCATTAATCCACATAAACAAACATGGGCTCTGCCGACAACCTGGTCATAGATCATACTGAATAACAAGGTTCTGTTTGGGAAATATGAATGTTTTGAAATCAATAAACCATCAATTCAGTTTTGACAGCATATATCAGAGTGAACAATAAGAATCAGCCACATATTTTAAATCTGAACCCCTTATCCAGAGGAGGAGAATCGAGGTGACTTGGGGTTAAGCGTCTAAAAGGAAAAATGATGAGTTGTTAATTGTTGAATGGTATAACACAGAAACATACTCCTGCTGAAAGTAACTCATTTCCTTGTTGATCAATCCTAAGAATTCAGAGTTAAAACATGCAGCTTTCTTCATTTATTTCAGCTCTCCTAATCTCTCACAATTGTGTCCGGATGCTGATTCATTCACATCTTATATGTGGGAAATGTTATTTCCAGAAATTGAGAATGTTATCCCCAACAATGTTTTTTACCATCTTTGGGCAGGAACGCCAGTCGGAGGCCCTGTATAGCTCGATGTCAATATGGAGCACTTTTCCTAAACCAACTGGAAACCTGCAGGGATAAACACTGCCTTTGAAGGTGTCGTGACGGCTTCCCTCTTGCGACAACTTCAAAGTCAATGTTTAGCTCATAGCTCCTCTGGTTTGCCAGATTTTTAAATTTTATTTTTTGTTATTTTTCTACTGTGTAATGAGAAATCACTTCACAGAGCCTCTTGCTTATTTGGGTCCCCAGACCCCAAGGGCTTCTGTTCTGTGCCTGTTAGGCCTGATCAGAAATCTACTGAGGCCGGATGAATCATCCGCATCCCCACTTGACGTCTTTATTGTACTTTTTTTCTTACCAAAAATGGAACTTAGATGTTCAATAATCCATTTAATGTTTGCATTATCTGAACTGATTATAAGATCACCACATGCACCCGAAATTCAAAATACTTTTATAAAGACTAGAACGATATAAGTGTGCCATCCCTTCCCCAATAACCAGATGTAAACATAATTTCTATTTAAAACCCTTGAACTAGATCTCTTCCTCAAATATTTATTTTCCCTGTGAAGATTGTCCAATGCTTCAGTTTGTAGGATACTGTTTCAAGTGGACTGAAGACGTTTTTGAGGCAAAAGCACATCTTGTGTCTTTTAACGTCACAGATTTTTTTTTTACGATTAACGAGAGGGTTTGTTCCTTATTAATGAAATTAAGGTCAAAAATCTTTGGAGATATGTACAACAACTTCTGATGTGAAGCTATGTGCTGTTCATATCTCTTAGTGAACAGGGAAATTGAGTTAATGGAGTTTTGTTTAACACCAGGGCTTGTGTTTAGTGTTCTGTTTGTGAAGATTTTAAATTGGTTACAGTCTTCATGCTAAGCTAATTGCCATTTAAATAAATTTCAATTTCTAACACTGAAAGTGATTATTTTGGGAAAAGAAGAACATAATAGTTTGTCCCTAAAAAGGTTCCCATT